TTTGTGGATTGAAGTGCAGCTGTTGTGCATGAACACATCCCATCGTAGTGTAAAAAAGATCTGTAATAAATGAATATAACAAGATCTGTCATGGGAAAATGCTGACATGGTTACATTCTATGATTTTTCTTGGGCTTTTACAGGGGTAGCTGAATCCAAAGTGAGGCCAAGGCAGCAAGATGGGAGGTTTTCTAAGATAGAATACTGTCTCTTCCAATCATTTCTTATAGATGTGTCATTGCTATTGCTGCTGAATTTGTTCTTGAGATCAAGTCTGGCCATTCACTTTTGGAGTTTACCATTAAGTTAGCACTTCCATGTAGGACTTTTCATACGATGATATAAACTTGCTGGAGCTTGCAGGCTTACAAAAGCCCTGTTACTACTAGGGAGGTGTTTCTGTAGCCATGTGATCATTTCTTTGGCCAGGCAGTTATTCTATATCCATTTCCACCCAGACCGTTTTTCAATAGAAACTGAAAAGTTCAGACAGCAGAAAGCAGAACTCATCATGTTGGATTCTGGTAGCCATCGATTCTAAAAACCAGGAAGAGTACTAGGTTCAGTCTTTTCTCTTTGATTTGGAGACCATATAAGAATGAATATTGTTTTCTTAAAGTCAGAAATTCCTTCATACCAGCAGCGTGGTTTTTACTAAATTAACACTGATGTGTCATGCATATATGCTGTGGAGAAAGTATACATATATGTATATATATGTGTATATATATGTACTGGATATGTATAAGGAGGCTTTGAGTAAATAAATATAATAGTGATAGCAATTGTATTGAACTAATATTCAAACATAATTAAAAAAATAATATTAAAAAAATAATATTTAAAAATCCTACTCAAAGGTGGTTCCACTTTGGGCTGCACTGTACAAACAGAAAAATATATACCATCTAAGAAGGTAAAACTTTGGTTTCCATATACGTTAGGAAATTATATGGTCTGTTTATACTTAATCATACTATGACAAAAAGGAGGGAACACAGAGGGAACAAGAAAAAGTCATCTTATATATACAGTATTCGAAAACACAAACTTCAGAAAGAAGAATCGGACCACCAAAGTATCTTGCATGAAGCTGTGTTTGTGTTGGTCTTAGAAAAATGAAAAAAAGCAGGTTAGTTGTTTTTTTTGAAGCTTGGAAGAAGTCTAATCAATGCCACCAGCTCAATCACTACAAGGCATGCATTAGACACAAATTCCAGAACATTCTAACATGCATGCAGTACTATATTCCAGGGGTCCACCAGTAAAAGAGCAGCACAACTCACTCTTCTTGTGAACATTAGCATGCTTTATGAGAGCAATAAGTATATTTCGAAAAGGGAGAATTTAGGTTCTGAGAACTCTCTCTGGCTGAGAAGCCAGTATGACTTAAAGTAAGTTTGATTGAACTAAAGTGGTTTACGTTGACTGAAGGTCTCTCCACTGATGTTTGCAAAATGTTTATTTGGAGATGGCACCTGTACTCACCCAGCATCGCCACTTAGCTATTCTTGTTTCCTCAAACACTGCATTTAGAAGCATTTTTGATTAGGAAGTAGCTTCAGTACAGTTGCAAGTGAGAACATTTACATCACTCCCAGGAGCTCAACCAGAGTTGAGGATTTGCTGAAAAGGAAGTTTGTACTAAAAATAAGTGTGACCTTCTTGAATCAGCACTCTTCTGAAATTTCACTGAAACAGTACAGTTCTTTCCACCATTGTAAGAGCAGCAAGAGTAACATTATGTTTGAATAATTACCTCCTTGTAGAAAGCTGCCTTCGGATGCAACTTGTGTCGTACTCAATGTTACTTTATTGGCACAGGCAGTGGTACAGGTTTGTAGTCCACTTGAAACGTGGACAGACCAAATTAGACATTTTGCAGTTGCTTTCTATGAATTCCAACAAATACATTAGTATTACAGCAACAGAGAATTATGCTTCTTTTTCTCTCTTCTCCCTCTTCTCCACAGAAACTACCTTTAGGAATGACAGAGAATTCCATATACTTCAAAGCCTACTAATCTAATCTTGGTTAAAAAGGCAATATGACAGTTCATTTGTTGGCTAATTCTTTTCAGGTAAAGGAAAAAAGATATGGTCTGATAACATATACATAAAATGACAGTGTAAGCATGCTGGATGTTGTTCATTTGCTGGCAGGTGTCTCTGGTATATATTTATGTGGGATGGTATGCACGTCTTAATGAGAAGAAGTCAGTGATTGTGCAGAATCACCCACAAGAAAAGTCTTCCAGGCTCTAAGGCAAAGAGGCAGCAATATGTCTGCAGTACCTTAATGCTTTCCTGGTAGCAAACACACGTTGTTGGATAGTGGATGTTGTGCTGATAGGGAGTAGCAGCAAGCTATTCTTCTGCTCCATAGTCTCACTGTGAGCCAAGTGGTTTGAATTGTCAGCCTGCAGACTGATACTGTGAATGAATAAGGCTCAAGTGGAAGAAATGGATTGCTTGATAAGTTTCTCTCTGTTAAACTGTTGCTGCTCATGTGCATTTCAGAAAAGAGTTTTGTATTGGACTGTAGCAATTTCAAGAAGGAAATAATTTAAGTCTCTGTACATTAAGATCAGATAGTTTGTTTGGCCACTTTCTGGTGACAAAATTTAAAAAGTGGTGAAATTGCATTTCAAATTCTGAAAAGAGAAAGAAATGTATGCCTTTAATGTGTACCTTACCTCTAATTCAAACCTTTTGAGGGAAACTATTTCCAAGTATTGTATTTACTTCTGATGTTTATTTCTACTTTGGGCATCCCTAAGGCCCCCAAATGAGGTTTCACTGGGCACAGAAACAAATAGAAAGAAACAGTTCCTGCCCCTGAGAGTTAGCAGTCAAGACAAAATGTAAGAGGTGATTAAAGAGACAAATGGAGGAAACAGTTAAAGAAAGTGTCTGCAGGCAGATGTAGCTGTGTCAGTAATCATACACAGCTATCAGCCTAACCAGTGCTAGATGGAAATGCTTCTCTTGGGGCTTGTATGTACTATTTTCCAGTATGCATTTTCACATAAGGTGTAATAGACAGACAGTTTCTGTATTGTGCTGTATTTATTCTTGCTATTTTTATTCTTTGCCATCCGTCTGACACTTTGCTCAGTTAAGGTGTCAGTCATTGACTCACATTAAATTTTATTTTTTTTCCAGTCTCAGTCTAACTCAGTCTCTCAGATATTTTGTTAATAGAAAGAGAGAATCAGCCAAGTTTCCAATTTGTGTGTTTGAATAATAGTCCAACACAGAACATAATAAATCATTAGTCCTTATGAACTGTATTGCCCTACAACAGAGCTCTATTCCAATCCAGTTAGGGGAACTGAAATTTTACTTAAAAGCAAATATCTGATAAGGGAAATTAATTATCATGACATTTTGAATTGGGTAAAAGATGGGGAATCAGCTGTGTCTGTGAAATTACAGATGAAAATGCAACACTCAAGACTTGTTAATGCTTTTTTTGGCATAGAGAAGGAGACATAGGTATCTAATATTAAGTGGTGTTGTAGAAGGGCAAGTTAGCACTTTGTTTGCCAAATTAAGTTTCAAAGACTATGTAGGTTATGAAGTTTGACTTTCTGCCCATAAATCTTGAGTGACTGACAGGCTACTGTAAAATAGCTTTGTTCAGAAGGAATCTTTGGCAGACGGCATCAAAGGTTTGAAACTCTGGAAGGGATGAAAAGAAAACCCCACTTTTACACTGATTTCCCCTGCAGATCAACGTCTGTGTGAAATTTGCCTGGGAATTATGAGCTATTTACTGTATTATGCACTGTTTTCTTTCACTGTATCTGAAGGCTCCTGTGGTTCCTTTTATCTTCAAGATTTAGGGATATTTTTTACATGATATGTGAATGAGTGAATGCATCATTGGAACTCAGGGAAAAAATGCTGCTTTTAGACAGTTCTGTTCTCCCTTATTTTATCACAAGTTGGAGTATTGGTTTTATGGCACCTAAATTTATGGGTACATATTTTTATGGCAAAGCCCAATGACATGCTCTGCATGCTCCATCAAGTTCTCTCTGTGTTTCTTCACTTGATTCACTACTCTGCAGGGTATGAATCAGTCCTGTAGCATAACCTTTAATCTCTTCTTAACCAGAATAATGTAGTGTAGTTCTTATTTATTTATCATGTGTATCATCATCTAATTATGTAAAGAAAAAAAAAAAAAAACAATAAACAACAAACAAGCATGCAAACTCAAAATTTCCTGTAAAACTTGTCACCTATTGATCAGTGCAGGACACAAGTTTCTCTCTTGCATGTAAGCAGATCAGGCAGAAAACTAATTCACAGGTACTTTAGCCTTTCTTCTGCCACAATATGGTACTGCTGGGGCACGGGCTAGAAGGGAAATGCATGGTGGGGCAGTTTCTACTTAGAAACTCAGCATACCTACTCAGTTATAGGAAGAAGCTTGAAAAGAAGGGAAGACCCTCTGTGTTGTGCCCCTCACTATAAGGATATTGAGTTGCTTGAGCATGTTTAGAGAAGAGCAACAGAGCTGGTGGAGGGACTAGAAGCCAAGGGGAGTTTAGTCTGGAGAAGTGGCTGAGTGGAGACCTCATCATTCTCCACAAGTACACAAAAAAAGAGGCTGCAGCAAGGAGGGTGTTGGTTTGTTTTCTCAGATGACAAGGGATAGGACATGAAGAAATGGTCTCAAATTGCAGTAGTGGTGGTTTAAGTTGAACATTAAGACAATTTCTTCTCAGAGAGGGTGATCAAGCAGTGGAATGGGCTGCTCAGATAAGTTGTAGTCACCACTGGAGGTATACAAGAGATATGCAGACATGTCACTAAGAGATATGGTTTAGTGACAACACTTGGTAGGTCAGGTTGATGCACTTGATGATCCTGAAGGTCTTTTCTAACCTAGATGATCCTATCATTCTGTCCTTTTCATTTGTGCTTTCTATGTTTCCATGTGTACTGGTTGAAACTGAATGACTTATGCCCTTGTTTGTCTTCCACAGGGTGAAGTGAAGAAGTAAATTCTCCCAGCTGAACTACTATGAGGTCAGAAGCCTTGCTGCTATATTTCACACTGCTACACTTTGCTGGGGCTGGTTTCCCAGAAGATTCTGAGCCGATCAGTATTTCGCATGGCAACTGTAAGTATAAGAGGCCAGAGGTCTTCATTTGCTTAGCAGCGATCGCTGGACTTAAAATCAACAGTATTTTGCTATTTGCAAGTGCAATAAATAAATTTGTTTTTCATGATTTCTCCAAGATCAACCAATTTACATTCTCAGATACTAAGAACTAGACTTTCTTATGTTGATTAGTGGCTGCTGGGTGGTGAGCTGCTTGATCCCCCGAAACCACAACATTTCTCCTCCCCAAACAGACCTTTCAGTAGTATAATCAAAAAAATACCTTGTTTTATCCAGAAGAAAATGAAGGAATTTTTTTTCTCTTTTTTCTCCATGATCAAGCAATTCCTCACCTGACTTGAGAAACTGTAGCTCTGGATAACGCTCGATACATCTCAGGGTATCAAACATAGCACACTGAAACAGCTGAGTTTTAAAATCATAATTGGTTGAGCTAATACAAATATCCAGTCTTACTTCTTTAAACTCTGGTGGATATTAGGTTAGCATTTGGCCTTTTTGGCTGGAAATGTAGGTTTAAAAGAAAAAATAAAAAAGGCAAGACAACGAATCTTTTGTAAGAGAATATCTCTTCTTTCTTACCAGCAATTGGCAGACTAAAAAATCTAGGGTAACACAGACAGCTGCAAGCCAGTACTGAGATTTACTGACTAAACAGGTGGAGAGCTTTCTCTGCATTTCACCATGTAAGTCAGGCTTAACATAAGTGATTCTTTCACATTTACCACAGCTCAATTATGATTACTCTAAACAAAAGTCTTCTGAAGTCCCAAAGGTTGAGATATTTAATAAGAAGTACTTAGTACGTGACTCTGTAATAGCATGCTAAGGAATAGCAGGTCAGCAATGAATAGGCTTATGTTTAAGTCTACTTTGGACCAGGCATTTGATTATGCATTGAATCTCCTAATTGTCCCTGCTTACTGTGCTTTGTGGGGGCCTGGACACCCTGAAGCCTGTTTGTCTTGGGGAACACAAAACTGAAAGACAGGCTCCCAGAGTGTAGTTGAAGTACTCCAACTGCTAGTAGGCATCTGGGTTACAGAAGCATGGCAGAACTGCTCTGAAGCAAACCTGACTGAACCCTGTCTGGTGTGGCCCTTGGGTCTTCAGCACCAACTTTATCCCAGTCCAGAAGGGCGATGCTGATTTTTCACATGAAACATGGGATGACTTCTCTCCAGCATATCATGAAATGCATATGAACATAAAAGCCCCACCTCCTGCTACATCAGTGAGCTACAGAGGAAACAGTACTGAATAAAGAAGAGTTTGAAAGTTGGAACTTGGCATTTTTTATGTAGGTCTTAGTCAGAAGCATTAAGCTTCTGACTTAAGCTTCCAATATATCTTGGTTGGAATCTGATAATTTGTTTCTCCAAGAGTCCTCAGTGTCTGGGGACAGATAAATTTCTCTTTCTATCATTTTGTTGTCAGGCTTTCTGACACATGGTGCTCTCAAGTGCTTTGCAAAAGATATGCTGGCAAAGTCAGTACTTTGACCAAACTTGACAGGGAGAAAACCTTAAGAGGACAATAGCTAAAAACACTAAACTGTAACTGAGTTTCTGAAGAAACAGACTCCATCAAATATCTCCAGGTTTCTGAGAAAACATATTGATGGGGAAAAGGTTCAGGCATGGCTCAATGCTAGTCAAATCTGTGTAATCACTGAACACTGGCACAGGCTGCCCAGAGAGTCTCCCTTCTCAAAGATGTTCAAAAGCCATCTGAAGCCATCTGGTCATGGGCTTGGGCACCCAGCACTGGTGGTCCTGTTTGAGCGGGGGGTGGTGGGCATGGCTTGGACCAGATGGCCTCCAGAGGTCCCTGCCAACATCAACTGTCCTGTGATTCTGTGAATATACTCAAACAGCAGTTCTGCCTTATGGTGATGTTCATCAGAAGTTTATCCTCTTCTTGTCTTCTAATTGTCTTTTCATTTGTTTAACTGTCTCCCTAGTCTGTGCATCTAGACATTATGATCATGTATTCATGCAATCTAACAGCAAGGTGGATCTTGGTCAAAAGGGTTCACAGTTGTTATAGAGTGAATAAATGCTCTTGCTACTTGGGAGAGAGAGGGAAAAAGCTGGCTTGTTGATAGCATAAACTCAACAGAGGGCTTCCAGTCAGTATTGTTGTCCACTTGCCAGAAGAACTGCAGTATCCAACTGGTTGCCAAAATAATATGCAGTGACTTTCATTTTAAAAAGTTCAAGTAGTGGTTACCCACAGTTTCTCAGAAATCCCCACAGCTGCTTTACAATGGCAGTTCAATCCTGTAGGAAAGCCATGCAGCTGGCACTTTGAGCCATGCAGAGCCAAGTCTTTTGCTTTAACCACTACCATTTCAGTCATTGTGTTGATTGATGGGCCACTGTAAAACAGCTTTGTCCTGCTAGATACATTTTGGCAGCCAGGAGCCAGCATTTAAACTCTGCAAGCAGTGAAAGAAAAACTGTGAGAAGTGCCATGTACCTGTGTGCCAAGAGCTCTAGAGCAGCTTTACATTTTAAAGAAATTCACAGTTTTTGTCTTCTAAAAAAGTAATGACTTTCTTCCCTACAACTGCAGACTAACCGTGAAGAACCATCCAGCTCTTTGTGCCAATACCTTCCTGCCCCAGGCCATGCTGCTGGGGGAAAAGAGAAACCACAGATTTCAGCCACAGCCAGGCACCAGGGTGCTCTGTGTCAGCATGGTTTCAATTTGTGATTCTCTTACATCTTGTGCTTCTTCTCCAGAGCCCTGTTTTTCTTGCTTTCCCACAGATACAAGACAGTATCCGGTGTTTGTGGGTCACAAGCCGGGACGGAACACCACGCAGAGGCACCGGCTGGACATCCAGCTGGTCATGGTCATGAACAGAACCCTCTACGTTGCTGCTAGGTCAGTAGCCCTCTCCTTCACCACTCCTTCCTTGCTGCTTGCAGAGCAGAAGGGAGGAGAGGAAAGATATTCTGAGTTCTTCTCTGCTGGGCATGTTATTTTTAGGATTTTCTCACACTCAGAGAGGGGTTTGCAGCCTGTTAGCAAGACATATTGGACACCTTGTTAGTCAGTCAACTAAGGCTTAGTTTTGCAAGGTACTGAGCCATTTCTTTCAGGACGACATACCTCCAGCTCCATTTGAATCATGGAAAAGGGAATTTGCCATATAAATTGTTCAGTGTCGTGGAATAGAGGTCTGTCCTCATCCCATAATTTTGCTTGTGCACAAAATTAATTACATATTTTAGAGTTATTCTGCTAGTGCAGAAAGGCATGTTTGGTTAAGAGTTGTTAAACTTTAATGTTGCTGGTTTAGGCATATTTTTAATATTAAAAAACAAACAATCAAACAAAAAGTGATGTGGAAACATGTTTGCTACTGTTCTTTTGATGTACTCAGGTTAATTGAATTTGGTGTTAGTGTTTTTTTGTGGTTTTTGTTTTTTTTTTTGGTTGGTTGGTTTTTGAAGAGCTATACTCTGCAGATACAAACACATGCCCCTTTATAAAAATTGCCTATAGAGCCACCCATTTAGTCAATGTAGTTCAGCATAGCCCTATCAGCCTCTCTGGCGCTACACTGATTTATACAGCTGCCAACCTGGCACAGATCCAACATTAACACTTCCTCTCCCTGCCTGCTGTTAGCAAAGGAGGCTGATGATTTCATAGTGGGAATTACCTGACGGAAACAAGATGAATGCAGGAAGGGCCCTGATTAGCAAGGGTGGGTAGTTTATCTCAAGAGCTCTCAGATTCAGATCCTGTTTGGGAAACCTACCCCTCTAGTAGTAGCTTACTTCCTGACATTTTTCTGGTCCTTCTCCTCCACCTGAGAAATATGCAACCTTCTGTGTGCTACAGAGAGCCAGGCTGTTGCTGCAGATGGGAGAGGAGGTAGGTGAACAAACAAAGTAAAGAAACAGCTGCTGAACAGGCAGCCCCTCACCACCACCCCTTTCCTCAAAGCCCTTGGTAGCCTCCAGAAGCTCTTTTTCAAATAGTCGCTCCCTGTCTTCTGCATGGTCAGATGTGCCCTGTGGTGGAGATCTGCCTATTGATCTCTACTCAACACCAAATAATCCATTGCTTTACACCATCAGAGTCATTGGGTGAGGTTTTTACATAGCTGTTTCTATGGCTGCTTGAAAACTGCACTTGTAACTGCTCACCTACCCAGGCATTGCCATTGTATAGGCTAAACACAGCTTCTTCAGGCTTCTCACTTACTGGAGTTTGTATTTCATCCATGTGGCAGGCTTTTGGGCTCTCGCTCATGCCAAGCCGTGTTGGTTTCCCTGCAGCCTCCACTGCTGTGGTTTTTACTCCCAAAAGCAACATCAAGAGCCAGAGTCTTAAAGCCAAGTTGTTGTGGAGTTTGAGGTTTTCCAGCAGAGAATAACATTTTTTTTCTGAACAACTGTCAGTTTTTTTTTTTTTTTTTTTTTTTTCAAAACTGCTCTTTTTCCTGACCTTCCCCGAGGGGTCATCACACTGCTCCCCTCTCCCAGTGGTGCAGATCACACGTCCCTGATGCCCTGATGCTCTGGCTCCCAGCCTGCATTCACATCAGGCCTGGCACTTGGCGTGGTAGGGCCTGCTCTCAGGATGTGCCAAGAGACCTGGGCCAGCCCCTCGTTTTCTCCTTGCCTCAAGTCCTGAACATAGCATGTAGACCAAATACCAATAGTGGCTTTAGGGCACAAGAATCCCTTCCTCAAGGGATTCACATTCACCTTGAGATCTGTTTGCTGGGCAGTCTGCTGCCAGGCGCTCAGGCCTGGGGCATCTTCCCCCTTGTGATGGAGCTATGGTGGCACTGGCTGCAGTGGACAGCCCCAAGGAAAGGCCACCCTGCACCTCGTTCCAGCCCAGGGCTTAGCATTTCTGCTGCCTTCAGTGTGATAACAAGTAGGGCAGGGGAGTGGGCTGAAGCTACTTGGAAGGTGGCAGCAGGATTTCCTCCTTTTCATAGCTGAGTTCCCTTTGCTTTCCTTATTTGTTTTCCTTTAAACTAGGAAATCATTTGCAGGGAGAAGGTGGTAAATCTGCTTTTGTGAATTTTGCTCTGTTGTGTTCATAGTTTGTTCCCAGACTGAAAGATTGACGCAATTAGAGTTACAGTGCCTGAGTTTCCCAAGCCCAAGCAGGGAAAACCCACTTTGGGACACAAAACTACTGTGTGCATAAGTTATATAAAGAATGCGAACATTTGGGGTGAATATGTGTATTGGTGTGTGAATATGCATTCTTACGTATGCTGTAGTTATATATTTGTATAAAATATTTTATTATAATAGGAGTGCTTCTATACTCCTTGAGCCTATTGACCTGCAAAGAAAGCATAAAGTCTTAGTCTGTTTTGTATTTACACAGGCACAAAAAATCTCCTTACACTTTTTTTTTTTTTCTGATAACTCACTCTTTGACATATTCTTTTCCCCCTCCACATGTTACTGAATAAAGCCCCTGCTGAGCTGAGAAACCTGTGTTGTATAAGTTAAAATTCAAAGGTCATTTTTAAGTAATAAACTTCAGGGAATTAGTCATCTTGTGGTAATTAGTGTGAATGAAAGTTTACAATACTGCCTTTGTTTCAGAGGCAGTAACATATCTAGAGACTGAAGTAAATGTGTACACAATTGAAGGTGTTTCTTAAAGAGTTTTGTAGCAAGATTCATTGAAAACTGCAGCTAACATAAATCCCTTAGCTATCATATCAGGTGTTGCTTTCATGCTTTCAATATGGCAATGCTAAATTTACATTTGTATCATTAGCAATCAAAACAAATGATTAAACATTGACAGTTTTGTTTTGCTGTTGCCAGTCTTGTGTTTTACTTTGTTTATTTGGTTGTTTTAGAAAATCTAGTGTTTGCTTTGCAGATAGTCTCCTCCAGTAGGAGAGGGTGAACTCAAGTTTCAGAACTGCCGGCACTTTATTACTGAGTGACTGGCACAGAAAGTAATTTCTGTCTGTCCATCATGTCTTTTGTCATAAAGCATGTGTGACTTCTGTATTGAGTATTATCAAATGTAATTCTGTGTCACTTTGGAAAGGCTTTCATATCTCTGCCTTTGGAAAGGCAGAGATAAATTAGCGTAACTCAACCAAAGCCCATGAAACCATGTTGCTCTGCATCTAGATGTGTGAGGTACAGTGTGTAAAGGAGCAGCTGTTTTCTTTTTTCTCGTGGGAAGGGTACCATCTCGCTGTCTCTCTCACACTCATACACACACACTTTTCTAAATTTGCAATGCCTCCTCCTCCCACTGTCTTCAGTGGTGGCTGCTTTTGTCCACATTATCTGTCACCCTTCGTGTGTGCGTACAAAACAGTTTATTGAGCCCATGAAGCATCGGGATGGCTCCCTCTTCACTTGCCATTACACATTTCCAGACGCTGCACCAAGTGGCCAGGGGTCATGCACAGCCGGTGGCACGATTTAAATTCCCTTCCTCCACAAGATTATGCCATGGCAACAAAACTCGGTTCTGCTGACTGGAGGTGGGAAAAACGGAAGCTCTAGGATTAAGTCAATTTGTGTTAGAATAACTTAATTAGCAGTGAGCTGTACACATACCACAGCTAGTAGATAGTAGGAGTTGGGCAGCAGTGGGAAAAGGAGGGCAAGGACAATCCGTTATTGTCTTTGGCTGGAGAACCTTCCCCGTGATCTGACAGCTCTCTCCCTCTCTACTGTCATTGTCAGCAACTTTGTTTCAAATGCAAAATGAGAAAGTGATATGTAATTTGCCTGATATAAACCTTTTACATGATCTCGTAACTCAGGGTCTGAATTTTCTTTGAACCATTTCTTAAACCAGAAAGTGAGCCCCCTGAAAGATGTTTTACTGAGGGTGGAACTAAGCAACTCAAGCCTCTTTCTGAATAACATCATTGTACTTTTAATTGTCTTGTTTATAAAGAAAAAATCTTAACTGCTGTAAACTAAGACTGATAATTAAAATCAAGAGCTGTGCTGGAAGAACATTTTTAGAGATCCAGCAGCACCTAATTTGCAATTCAAGAGACTTTGTTCCCACTTTTATATAGTAGGAGTAACAGCAACAAAGAGCAATGTACATTAAAAAAAGGAATCATGCAGTAGTCTATAAAACTGATACAACACTAACTGGTAATCTGAGCCCAGCACCAACCCTGACCACTGCTCTGCCAGTAAGGTCAGGCCAATAATAAACTGAAGCATTAAACCAATCTTGAGAGAAAATGACAGTTCTGGTTTTACAGAGTCTGGAGGAGAAAGATTAAAAAAAAAAAAAAAAAAAAAAAAACAACTCAGTTTGGTGTCTTAAAAAGTAAATAGCCTCAAGTGCTGTAGCAGACAGTAGGTTTTAAAAAGCCAGTTCCATGTAACAATGCTGCCTCTTTTCTCCGCATGAGAAAAGTGTTGCTAATTCTTGTTTTGATAATGTTTTGTGTTTGCTTTATTTGAGAGAGAGCACTGTTTCCCCCAAACCCAATAAAGTGAAGCTAGTCTCAACAGCAGAAATTTCTAAAATGGAAGCAGTCTGCAGTCTGTATCTTACTTTCAGCAGACGCCGGTGTAGACCCCTTTAATGCCCTGGATCATTCTCCAGCTGCACAGCTTCCCACATTTTTAAAAAAAAGTTGGTGTTATTTTGAGAAGAAATTAGATACTCAATATTTTTTCTCTTCATTCTCAATTTGGTGTGGCTGCTACTAATGTTGTAACATTTTTTTTTTCTTTTCAGATTTTAGGTTCAGAAATGTTCTTAGTTTGTGTAGAAAAGAATATTTAAAAATGCTTCTTTACCTGAGTAGCTGAGTCTATTTACTCTTTCCAAAGAGAGATTGGCAGGTAATTGTAGAGAGAGTCAGGCTCTCAGGAAAACAGAAAAGCAAATGCAAGCTTAGAAATGTGAACTTTTTCAGAGGAATATTTTAAAGTTTAGTTTGGCCATCAGCGTGTGAAGAGAAGAATGATTCCTGGGAAGAGTTTCATGGCTGTCAGCCTTTTGCCTACCATATTGTCAATCAAATAATCACAGCTGAGGTTAGACACATAATTAGAAAGAAGGAAAGAAGGAAAGAAAAAAGCATTAACCTCTTTTTAACCCTGAATGGCTAAATATGGCCCAGGATGCTGGCAGAAGCTGTCACAGACTATTGCAGCTGGTTTCAGATACATAAAAGCATCTGCATGCTAGACCATGGCATCTGCTCTAAGTCCTATGGAGTAGAAAATATATAGGGCTCATCTCCTTTGCAAAATTTGTTGAAACAATCCCTTTTAAGAAATAATATTGCTTTGAAGTGTTGTAGAATTTTCCTTTTTTTTCCCTCCTTTTTTCATAATGGAAAGGAAGATAGTTTATATATGGAAGTGCTTTTCTGGGAGAAACAAGCAATGCTGTTGGTAGTGCTTCCTGATGAGACCTGTGATCTTTTTTTTTTTTTTTTTTTTTGTATGGATTATGGATTACCTCATGATAGATAATTCTCCTCATAATAAATGAATGGTCTGACTACTTCATTTGACTTTGGATTCATTTGCCTTTGTTTACAGGGACCATATTTATACTGTTGATATGGACACATCACATACAGAAGAAATTTATTTTAGCAAAGTAAGTAGCTTTTATCATCTTCCAGAAACCAAGGACACTAGAACAAGCTTCAAATAAATAAGAAGATGACATTGTTTCAAACAACTTGCCAACGCTGCTATAAAAACTGTAATAAGCAAGTAGGATGGCATTGCTAATCATATTTGGGGAAAGCTAGAATAGCAATCATGTCCTCTGTGAATTTCTGATAAGTGATTTAGCTGGGCTGATAAGCTATCCATACTGAAATATAGCATGGTCCCTGATGGAACATACGTCAAACATATTCATTTATATTCAGCAGCTTTCTATAATGGCTATACTATCCCAATTAAGTATACTGAAACTTTCATCATAAAAAGCGAGTGCTATTTACATATTTTCATGCACACAAATTCACTCATGCAAGTACTCACTAAATAAAATCTTATTATAGCATCACTTTGTAGATGTATTCACATTATCTCCATGGGAAGTTACATTCAAATTAAGAAAGAGCTTTGTCTGCATTACCACATTGCATATTAACATAAACATGCTAGAAATAATCTTCCTTCAGCTCCTTTACATTGCACTCACTTTATGTAACATGTGGCAAACAACCTTGGTCCAGCAGACAACCATATCAATTTGACCATTGGGTGGAATCTGCTGTAGGAGGAGTGTTTCATTATAGCTACGAAAGATGCTGAAGATGAGTTTATACCTTGCTGCTCTTCAAAAAAGTGAGGTCATGGATTTGTCATGAAAATGAAAGCAATGTTGCTACATCCACGCTTATTCTTTCAGTTTGGAGTCCTTAAGTAAATGGATAGTGCATCAGTTTACTAATGGGAAACTGTCAGGAGGAAAGTCATGGTTAGACTGTCTAAGGTGTTACTACTGTCTTAGACCAAGCATTCTTAAATAAAGTTTGGTTATAATTAATCAGCCTACCATGTGTAACATTTTCTGGAATTCACTGTAAAACAAATAAATTAATCAATAAAATAAATAATAAATTAAGGCTGGGATTTACCTGTAAGTGTTCCAAAGGAAGAATACTGGTGGATAAAGTCAGTACTATCATGATAGGTAAAGCATTCTCTGAGCCAGTTGGCTAACTTGAAGTGATAAGAATTAACAGAAATGCAATCTCTTTGCTAATCTAGAAAGTTGGCTTCCAAAATACATACTCCATTTAGGTTCCAATCAGGATATATAGTCCCTAAATGTTTCTTCTGATTTGCAAAATAATATCAAATTAGAAGAATAGAGCATCTAGTACTTTTAGAAAAGTGCTCATATTTTCAAATGTTAGCCTACTGTTGAATTCAATAGTTTTAGGCTTTCAGAAAAAAATGGGATAGATTTCTGGTCTAATGAATAGGCAGCAACACAAAATTAAGTGAATGCTCCACATCACTGATCTTTCATTGTTACGGTGAATTAATCATGGAGAAAGGGTGTGGAAAGCTTTCAACAAATATATGTTCAACAGTAAGTCTCCCCTAGGGGACTTCTACTTCTGAAATCAAATGCAACAGCCTCTGGGCTCTAATTGATTTTTTCTTGATCCTTGCAGAAATTGACATGGAAATCTAGACAAGCTGATGTAGACACTTGCAGAATGAAGGGAAAACATAAGGTAGGCAATTTTCATTTCTTCTGCATCTGCCACTTTGGTTTAGCTGCTTCACTATTATCTTAGGCTGCTGTCTGTGATGTGGAATGGATCATGCCATTCACTTCTCTGCTTATAATTGCTTTTTCCATCAGCCTACTGAAGGCTTTAATTTGCAAAAATAGTTTACTTTTAATGTGATAAAGCATTACAACAGGAGCCACAGAAACATCCTGAAATGCTTAGAGCACTGGAGATTTTGAACATAATGCTGAATGTCCTGATTTTGCTTAGCATTGCCTCTAAAGCCAAATGCTGCTGTCCATCCTCCTTTATGAGTTTACTGAGAAGTTGTGGAAGCATGAGTGTGTACAGATAGAGAAGCACTGTTTCTCATACCAGTCTTCCTTTAGTGTAGCTTATGACTAACACATGTCAAGTCAGAATTAGATGCAGACTCTGATTCTTTTTACCTGCTTCCTCTTCTAGTTACAGCTGCTTTATACCAGTACATTGCATTGATGATGGTACTGTCTTACAGCAACATAGATGAGAAGATTAGATTTTTACTCTTGAGGAAGACAACAGTGTTCAAACAAAATTATCCTAAGTGAACAATAGCAGAATCTGAACTATAATATGAATATCATAGCCTCGGTTCTATGTAACCATTTTAACTAGAATGGAAATCAATTGCATCATGCTCATTGTCAGTTAAACGTAGTTGAAATAAAGCCCAGAATATCACAGTGACTACCAGCCAACTTCATTTTAGACCTGACAATGAAAGATCATATCAACAAAATAAAACCAGATGACCAAAATACAGTAGTTTAAATATTTTTTATTATTTTTTCTTCAGGATGAATGTCATAATTTTATTAAGGTTCTCCTAAAAAGAAATGAGGATACATTGTTTATCTGTGGAACAAATGCATTCAACCCTTCTTGCAGGAACTACAAGGTATGTGATCTGTTTGTGGGATTTATGACCTACCTTTCTGTTGGATTTATTGTGACTATGCTGGCAACAGCATGATGTGTGTCATTCAGCCGCTCCTCTTTCAACCCTGTAGCATTTATCCTGATTTGTTTCAATGCTACAGAGCTCAATGTTGATTAGATTTCTGAGGATTGCTTGGATCAGTTACCTGCTTCTTTGCAGCTCCCAGACATCAGAGTTTATTGCCACTTTGCATTGCCCTCCATAAGTGCAAAGACCTTCAGATTCCTCCTTCCAGATGCAGTCACTCATGAGAAAGTTCCTAAGCTTGCCACTGACAGCCACATCAACACAGAGGCTGATGTTGAGCATTATTTCTGCGGTAACATTCTTAAATGTCACTGCGGTCCTGTTTTCCATCCCAGAGCCACTTCTGAAGACACTTAAGGAGTCAGTGCCTTATAACCTGGGAAAATTAGTGTTGGGAACCTAGCAGATATAGAAGTGTAAAGACTCTGCAGTGTTACATACTGTAGCAATGCCTGACAGCAAGTCTCCACAGGGAAAGACACAACAGCAGGGCAGTTGTGGATATTGGACATTAATTCATTGACCCCAGTTTCTTCTTTTGACATAGTGTGTCTCCATCATCTTCATATTGGCAGGGTCCATCTAATCAAATATTTCCAATTTTCTCAGCCATGCAGCAATATAATGTGATACAACCCTCATCAGTGGATGTCTTTGGAGCAGCTGTGAAATTAGTTCACTTAGGCCTTGATATCTGGACTTTGTTTTTTTCAGGCACTGCTATGTCTCACAGGTCATTTCTTATCCTTTGAGAAAAAGAAAATTTAGCTTCACTGATGCTGCTTTTGATGAAATCATGGCTCAATTTTCGTTCTCTTCAGTGTTGTCAGAGTAAGAAACAACATAAAGACATTAACATTGAGGAAAACAGCTTCCAGAGTGGTATTCACTGTGACTGCTGCTCTTCCTTGCTTTTTCTGCACTGCTGATTTACCTTGTTTAGCCATTATAATGGCCATAGTCTAGGAAATACATTAGAGGAGTTCATCACAGTCTTTCCTTTTAGTCTGTGGAGGAAGAATTAGATTTATTCACATACGAGCTTGCATCATGGTAACCATCTGATACAGATGGCTGGTGTTCTTGTAACAGCCATCTCTCCTCTTCTTCCTCTCCTTGCATCTCGCTCTTAGCGTGCAGTGAGGCTTCCTGGCTTGAGTGCAGTATTCAGTACTACACCACTGTTTTGTTATTGCTTCATGCTCCATACCATTAATGCAGCAACAAATCTCTAACAGCCACTTTTGTTGGAAAGCTGTCTTTTAACACAACTGCAGATTCTCCTTGGCATCTGGTTGTGGGGTTTAAAAATGGCCCTTCTAACCATTGCTGCAGGCATCTCATTCTCCTGATGCATGGCCTCTGCAGGCTACCTCACCTGTTGTTGAGCTCCTGCTGCCCAGGTAGGAATGCTTCTAGAAGTCAGAGCAGAGCACCTCCCCTGACCTTTCCTCTGTAAACTTCTGCATTACAGAAAGAGAGCACTAATGAGGTGCCAAACACGAAGCAGGGCAGTCCTTCCTCACTGTAAACTGGAAGTGCAGAGCAGTCTGCAGTGCCTAGATCAGTAGAAGGAGAGTTGCTTGGGACTGCAGCTCATTTCCCCTCATTATTAACTGAAATGCTTTTCTGTCCTCAAATAAGTGCAGCTAATTCCCTTCACAGTGGGTTTTGACAGAAAAGACTCATGACAGAAAACAAATGCTGACAGATCATCCCCACTGGAGGACTTAGGTGCTGTAACGTACAACCTAGAAGTTGGTGGGAGTAGGTGATGGTGCCAGATGGGTTGTTTTTCATGCTTTGTGAATCTGTACTGTATGTGGTTTTCATAGCGTGATCTCCTCCAATTACCTGAGCATGCTAGGGAGCTGCTTATTCCCAAAATACTGCAGTATAAGAATCTTAAACAGGTAAGAGCTGTACGTTTTCCAGATAGCTTGCTAAACCCTCTTGAACTTACTGTAAAGTTGATCTGTGTATTTGTATAATTATCGGTGCCTGGGGTGAATTTGTCTCCCAGGAGTTACACTTAAGCCTCAGACTTCTGCACAGATTAATTCTTGCCTGATGGTAAGAGGATTTCTCTATGACACAGACTCAACTGATACAGTAACACTTGGAGAACATCCTTCTGAGTATGCAAATCAAGGAAGAGAGCACCACTGTTGTGACTAGAGCAGAAGGATCTCTGGACTTTGGGGAGAAAATTGCATGCACGGATAATTGTCCTAGTGTTGTTTCTCCTCACTACTATGGCTTGCAGTCTTTTGCTTTGTATAAGAGCGCTTCTGTTGGACCACTGCTCAGGATAAATTTTGAGTCCATGCCAGAACCACAGACCACATAGCCTGCTGCAGTTCAACAGGAAGCTTGTGTACAGATAAAATATTGACTGAAGACTTTTGTAAAATGTATGTAAAAAGTAGGAGTGATTAGCTCTGAAAGAATGCCTGACTTATTGGATGTGTTTTTTTCAGCCTGATTTTATTTAACACTAGGATTTTTGTCAGGTTCTTCATTCATAGCCAGGAGCACAGTTGTAGAAAAAGCTTTCCTCCCTGCCCAGAAATGAAGAAATGAAGAAATGCTACCATAATCCTGGTCTTAGGTAAGAGGTTTATTTTCTATTTCTGAGGAGATCCCTTTTGTTTTTCAGATGGATACACTGGAGTTCCTGGGAGATGAGTTCAGTGGAATGGCCAGGTGCCCCTACGATGCAAAGCATGCCAACGTTGCATTGTTTGCAGGTAAAGAAGAATAACTGAAAAAAAACTTTTTTGCTTTCCTTCCTGTAACACAGGCTTGCCATAGTACTGTGTTTCTTGAGTCCAGAATGCCAAAATCTAAAAAGTGGCAAAGGGAGTGAATAATGACTAAAAATAGGGGCCATTAGGAAATCACTTGCACAGGAAGCCTTGCTTTCTCTGGGATTAGTTTCACTACCACAAACAACTTTGCTCGAAGCCTCAGTTTCCTGGCTCAGCATTTCAGTATTTCCTGGATTTGCGATAATATCATGCCAGACCAGTGTGAGGCACCATTTCTGGCAGCATCTTGCTTCTACAGAGGACAAGGACAAGGCTTGTATGAACTTTGAGGAGGAGGAGGAGGAAAGGTATGCCCTTTAACAACTCTAACCTTAAGTTGGCATTCATAATAAAAGAAAGAGAATATGCTCTGATACCGCCTTTCCTAGGTCTAAAACAGGAAGGGAAGGTGATTTTATTTTAAAGCAGAAAGCATCATGATCTTCCATTACCAGCTTACTAGGCAATGGAGAGAAACCTGTTAGTTAATGATGATTTATGCTGCATGCAGCAGAATACAGTTAATTCTGATTTCTACTAGAGTAGGTAAAATAGGGAATGCTTATTAATGGGGTTAGTTTGAGCTGTTGATTGTGAAATGTTATCGTGGTATCTCTCTTCTTGAATTCAGATTAAACTGTTTATTGAAGTTCTTTTAGAATGAACCTTGCCAAACTGTTATTAGATTTGGCTGTAAAATGGATGGCAAAGGCAATACAAAAGCCACCCATGATAACATCAATCCTCTTCAACAGGTGTGCTGAAAGCAGTGACTGGATTATTATGTGGAAATACTTCAGCAATTCCTCTGAGGGTGTAGGAGTTTATATGTATTCCAGTTATCCTTAAGGAAAGGCCAAAGTACTTTATTAGCCACTACTGTGTTTGAGCTGGCATGATCTGCTTAACAAAGGAGAGATTTCATAGCAAATTGCAAAAAATATTTTTGTTTCCTGTAGTGTATACTAATGGGTCCTTTTGTTTCAAAATAATGATGGGTGTGATGATGGTGTTACTATGTAATTTCTTAATTATAGTTAAAAGGTCATAAAGTAGAAATTCTCTGTAGCAGAGAATAAACCAAAAATGCAGAAACACACCTTCAGAAAAAGATATATCCCAAGGTTCATTCCACAATTCCTATCCTTAGGGCAGTCTGAGTCACCTGTCTGACATGCCTTGTTCACCACACTGGCCAGAGTAGGCATTTAAGGGCAACTTAACCTAGACATTTACCTACATGTAACTGAAGTTAGGTAAAAAGAGTACCACTCTGTCACTGAAGAAATCCTCACATTATTTGAAAATTAAAATAAATAACTGGAAATCATAATTATATCTCTTGGGATGGTTCAGAGTAAAAATTATACTGTTCAAATAAATCCTTAAAGAATATATCTGCTAAAATCACTGTTTGATATGGCATACATATTTATCCCCATGATAACATTTCAGAGTGTAGCAAAAAGCAGTTTCAGAGCAGTTCAGGGCACTAATCCAGCATATTTTAGTCTGCTGGGTGCACTTACAAGAATATGGCTCTTCTTGCAGCTTGTAGCTATTTTAGATGATATGTGTGAATTGTAATTAGTCACATGGTCTTCAGGAACTTGGCAGGAAAGAAAATAAATGTGTGATTGTATTAACATGAGTTCAGGCACCCATAGCTAAACAATTCAGCTTTTTATTCTATTTTAAATTGTTTTTAGTATTTGTTTTTATTTGCTTTTTTTTTTTTTTTTTTTTTTTTTTTTTGGTTTTGCTAAGAAAAAAGAGCCAATTTCTAAGTAGCCAAATGCTGATTGGAATTGCAGGGTTCAGAAAGAAGAGTACAGTCCTGCTAGTAAAAAAGTAATTATGATTTTTAAACCTGGAGCTGAAATTTAAAGTTGTTTTTAGGTACAGTAAGGGGAACTTATTATCACAAGGGGCCCTCTGCTTAGCCCTGAATATGCAGTCAGTGCCTTCAAGGCCCAAACAATTTCTGTCAAGCTAGAGGCAGGCTGTTCTGATTTTCTGTAGAAACAACAGAGACAAGCTGCTGGGGTTCATGCCATGATGCTTGTGATACTACCAGCCACCATGGTTCCAAGGTCTGTCTCACAAGTGAAAACAGCCCTGTCTTACCATGACCTGCGAACAGTTCTGACAAGTATCAATTTAAACTATTGTCAGAGCTTGTGCTTCTACATCCAGATACTATTGGTTGTCCTTGGGGTGCCATTTTGTAGGCCATTTCTTATCACTTGTCCTCCAGCATTCTTTAAAGGAGCAGAATGCATAATTCATGTGTGAAATGCCTAAAACACATTTTAGAAGAGAAACGTAGACAGGCAATCCTCCTTCATGTCTTTGCATCTCTGCTTTGACTGGGCTCCCTGTACTCTGTTTAATTTTTGACTAGTGACCTTTGGCCCAGAAGTACTCACAGAGGGAGAAACTTGAAGAAATGTCAATTAGCTGGCAGTCCCCAGGACCTGTCTGGTTTTTCCTCCTGGTTAAAACCAACAGTCCTGTTGAGGCACCTCCGTACTCATAAGCAGAATTTATAAGTATTAAGCTAGAGAAATTTCCAGATAAATTGGATAGGGTAGATTAGTATGCCCTAGCTAAACTGCTGAAGAACTACTTCATAAGGTTTCTTCTCCCACAACATCCCTCTTTTTAAAAATTGATGTTCTGTCCCATTTACCTTGTTGGATTTTTTCACTTCAGTGTTCCTGAAGGAGATTCTCATTTGATTCATGAGCAAAAGTAATTACATTTTTCCTATCACTTCCCACCTTGTTTCTTCTTTCCTTCCTCCTCAGAGGGAAAGTTGTATTCTGCTACAGTGACTGACTTCCTTGCGATAGATGCAGTCATATACCGGAGCCTTGGAGACAGCCCAACTCTGCGGACAGTGAAACATGACTCAAAGTGGTTGAAAGGTAGATAAACAAAAATAAATAAATAAATAAATAAATAATAATAAGGGAAAAAAAGAAAGATAGATAGATAGATAGATAGATAGAAAGAAAGAAAGAAAGAAAGAACGAAAGAACGAAAGAACGAAAGAAAGAAAGAAAGAAAGAAAGACACATCTCTGATGACAATCCTGGATTCCTGACAGACCTCTCTGTCATTTCATTTCAGTAACATTTTCTGGAAAAAGAAGGAACTAAATTACATCTCTTTTCTTATACTGATCTATTTATCTGTTTTCCTCTTCTCCCAACCCCAAGTTACTGGTCTTGACAGAAACTGTGAGCATAGTAGGCCAGAGTATATTCCAGAGAGTTTTCCAAGCTGAAATAATCAATTTACAGCTGTTGGATGTGAAGGCTGGAATTGGCAGGGCTCAATGTATTTCATGTACTCAGACTCTGTTTGAAGCAAACCATTCCTTGGAAGAGTGTTAGGTACCAGCGAGGGCTTCATGAAGGACAGAGAAGTTGTCCTAAAGCATTAAGATTCATCAATGAAAAATAAAATTATGGGAATATTGCACAAAGGCTTCCTTTTCTACTTCCTAGGTACTGTGTAGCTGCCATTGAATTAAGCAATGTGTGCTCTAAATGCCCTCATTGTTAAGAGCAGTGCTGTTTTGCTTCACGTAGGCGTTATGAATAGTTAACATTTGGAGTGGTTTTAATAGTGAGCAAAACTGAAGTTTGAAGGCTTTTGCTGCATGCAGAAATGTTTTGCCAGGTGTCGACTTTAGCTGTCCCGCTTTGCTTGTTGCTGCAGACATGTATGGGCAGAAACAGTTATGGGGATTGTTATTCCCTCCACACACAGCCTGCAGGCCATAAAGAGCCCTGTTTGGAGCCCTCAGGCATGCCATTACATATTGCCTCTCTACATTTCCTTGTTCACTGTGCAGGGCAGACACAGCAGTGGCTAACACCTCACTGCCTTGCAGGGACTTTCCCCAGGCTGGCCTCCAGCTGTGCTGCGTGTCCCAAGCAGAGGTTCTTCTGCAGTGGTGCCGCTGCCTCTTCTGACAACTGAGCAGGCTTGCCTCACATGTGCATTCAATTGTTGACATTTAGTGTGAAGGAATTTGGCTTCCCTTTGCACCCATAGTGTGTTTGTGTGCTGTATACTGTGCATGGTGCACAGATAGGATGCCTTCTCTGTCTTTTCTAGAACCATACTTTGTCCAGGCAGTGGACTACGGCAATTATATTTACTTCTTCTTCCGGGAAATAGCAGTGGAGTACAACAGCATGGGAAAGGTAAGGGCAAAAATATTGCCTCAGATGACTTAGTGACATTCGGGAGGAGAAAAACATATGCTATTCTTGGACCAGTGCTATTAGGAGTGACCTTGAAATGAGAACCATAAATCATGATGACAAGGTCATCATTTTGAGAAGATTCTTATTGCTCAAGCCAAAAGGTGGGTTGGAGTGAAACATTGCACTGTCTTGAAAGGATACGAGGTGGTTTCTGATGGTGGCAACATATGCCAGAATCTCTTTTCCTAATCATAAAAAGCACAAGGCAAATGTCGTTAGTTCAGCATACTAGGAAGATGTTAAAAATGGCTTCTAAAGCAAGGAGATGTTTCTTTTTCAGAAATCTGAATTGGAGTAAACAAGAGTAGAAATTTTGTCCTCTGCCATTCTTCAAAGAATAATTAAACACTTTCTGCATTTTTGTGAATTTCACAATAGCGTTCTGACTAAGTAGTCAGAAAAGCTGACCAAGGTCACAAAGGTGGAGGGCAGGAATAAAAGCCCAGCAAGATTTGCATAGTTTTTAAGTGCTGAAAATACAAGAGTCAGAGCAGGCAGCGTGGGCTGCAGGGATTGTGAATATAAAATGTGCTTTTGTTTGGGGAAATAGAAAGCTAAGCAGTCTGTATGGAAATTAGTTTTATATGGGTTGAGAACAGATCTCCTGAAGGATTTATGACTGTATATTAAATGCCACAGCCTTATCTTTTATAGCACACTGTTCCAAAGCTGATTTTTTTCTGTTTCTTATTTGTCACAGATTATGGAAACATGGGATTAAATTAAGCACCTTGCTGTGTTATTTCAAATGTTTTAAAAGCAAAATTCCTGTAGAGTCTTCAAGTTCAAACAAACATTTCATTTTCTAAATTATTTTTGCTCTACTCTTTCCAGGTAGTTTTCCCAAGGGTGGCTCAGGTTTGCAAAAATGACATGGGAGGATCTCAGAGAGTGCTGGAAAAACAGTGGACTTCCTTTCTCAAGGCTCGTTTGAACTGCTCAGTTCCTGGCGATTCGCACTTCTATTTCAATATACTGCAGGCAGTTACAGATGTTATCCATTTCAATGGCCGGGATGTTGTTTTAGCAACCTTCTCCACTCCATATAATAGGTAATAGGCGCAATAACCTTTTGTTTCCTTTACGTTTCACTTTTTATTGCAGTTTGTTTTTACTCCATAAAGGTCCAAGAAGTGATTGCTCATACAATGTAATTATTACATACCATGCACTTACTGAGAGTTTGTGTTTCATTTTAAGGTACCCTGCCATTGCTTACTGCATTTTATATTTGATAATTTAGAGCAGCTTTCAAACATTTACTATCTGGACACATTCCTTGGACATTTTCTTTACATGAGAATAATTCAGACCAGCCACCAAGAAGTTTTGCGGAGTGTAACTTGCAGGTTATTACAAAGAGAAAATACAGTTTTCCTTTCTTCCAGAGAAAGGACCAGGTCTGTCCTGTTCACATCCTCCTTTCCTCTATTTCATGCATCTCTACCAACATTTTGTCCTGGGAGAGCCAATGTTCTCATACTTCCTGCTCTCTGCAAGGAAGGTCTCTAGATCAAAGAGAAGGAAGTAGTGGAGCTGACTAAAGCTTCACAGTCTGTCAGGTCCTACTTTGCTTATTTATTCTCATAAAGGGGTGTCTTGAACCCTTCATACTGAGTCAGCCAATCTTTCAGCTTTTTAACCCCTGGAGCTGCAACCTGTGATGCTCTTAACAGAGGTTTCTGTTAGCAAGGGGGAAAGGAGGAGCTGAGCTAAATCAAAAGTCTCTTCCTTTTCCTGGCCACATCAACATGACTTTGTTCTGCAGAACCTACACACAGGAGTCCTAACCTTGCTGAAATACAGCCATAACACAAGCAGGTACCAATAACACAAGCCATTCTTCAAACACCTGTATTTTCACTGCTCATGTGGTTTCCAAAAAGCATCAGTTCATCTGTTAAAAATTTATTGCCATTACACATTATAACATGTTTGTCCAGAAGCTATTAGAATAATAACTATCTAATTATTGAGTTCTCCTGGAGAAGTTAAAAAAAAAAATACTAACAGTCCAATTAAAAAATATATTGCTGTTTCATGGCGTAATGCGTGAGCTGAAAGGGGAATTTTATTGCTGAAATTCATCTGGTTTTGCTGTACACTTGCCACCTCTTGTCAAAGCCTGACCTTAGTGAGGTCATGCACAGAGCTGATTTCAAATGAGAGTAAGACTAGCCCTCTTCTGTTTAATCACTGACTTTGACATCAAAACAGTAAGAATTGCAGTGGAAGAAAATAATGCCAACAATAGGGAATGCAGTTTTATATTATCTCTCTCTTTTTTTTTTTTTTTTGTAAACAGTTTAAATAAAACCAAATAGAGAATAGGCATAAGCAAATAGGCTGTATCTTGAGATTATCTATACATTGAGATGTTCTAGTCTGCTAGTATTTCATGAGGTATGTCATGATGAACTTTTACTTGAAACCCTGTGTTTTAGAATCTAAGTACTTGTTTTTAAATTCAAATTTCTTTGATCTCTGGAACAAGAGCATCCCCCTAGAGTGAGTTGGCACAGATTCCTCAATTCAATCTGAGATCACCCTGGGTGGGAGCTGGTGGTGGGTTGTAGTCAGTAGGTAAGAGATTGCCTGTCTGTGACCCACAGTGCTCCATCCATATTGTTTTATGACACTGTGGACCTGCTAATTGCCATCCTCAATGGAAAAAGTTTTTGCAGTCTTCTCACTGTTGTGATCCCTCTTACACTGTGGAGATACATGATGAGGACAGTTCTCAGTGTGTTTAGTTCTGTAGAGTAAGCCTGAAGGTTTTAGGGTTGTTTTTTCTTTAGTGCTTAATCCAACAATGTGTAAAATCTTCTATCTGTAGTGTGACTTGCAATGCCTTAGGATGTGGTCCTGCATGCATCCAAATACACCCCTGACCAACCCTGACGTTGAAATATATGTGGCTGCCTTGCCTTAAAACTCTTGCTGTGCAGTATCATGTTAATATAAAGCTTTGAAGTGAGTTTCCTTCCATATAAAAACCTGTCCTGTGGAGATGAAAGTAAGAATAATACCATCTCCCTACTTGTTGTTTCCTTCAATAATAAGCATTTCAAAACCTTTAAATATTCAAGCAATTATTTTCCTATCAATTTATGTACCCTTATGAGTTTAGTTTTATTCTCTGTAACAGTATTATAGTTCCTACGTTTTCTCTTTGGTGTATAATAACCTACTAGCTAAAAGCAGGATTGAAAGCCTCAGCCAGTTGGGTTCACGCTATTTATCTGATAAAATCAAGCAGTGAAAGTCAGACATGAATACCGTAGTTCATGTGTAAAAAAAATGAAAGGTGGGTAAATGAATAATTCATGCTTCCAAGTGACTGACCATGGGAAAACCCTAGGCTTTTCAGAAAGCATGTAGGTAAGGTTATAATTATGTTTAGACAATGCTACCGTGCAGTTGCATGCAAATAATCAAAGAATTGAAACTTACAACTTTATCATCTAAAAATGTGATTGTATTTGCTTCTACAAGCTCTTTACACCTCATTGAATAATTGAGTTAAGCAAATTGCTGAGCATAGTTAACTTCTTTCCATTGGGAAAACCTGCCAGAGATGAGGCTGTAAGAGGATGGAGTAATAATGTGCAAATGCCAGGCCAATGGCACAGTGCAGTATGTTTCCAGTTTGATCAGCTTCAGCTTCTGAACTGTCTGCAGTGTGTTTTTGAGGCATGACAAGGACTGTGAAAATTCATACTGAGAAAATGTTGTGACTTACAAGAACTTAAATTTCCAAATAATGGGCTCTAAATGAGACTGGCTATTACTTCTCATGCATTACCAGTGGTACACAGTTTCCCAGATTCTTTCCCCTCTTCAAGATTATTGCAATTACTTCTTTCTATAGAGGCTTTGAAACAAATTGTGCTGGCAGGAGCTGTCTGCTGATTGGTATGTTTCAGTTTTTTCCACGGGGCTGGCTTTTCCTGTCAATACTCAGAGGTTACAAAGTTCGGGATTGAGTAGCCTGTGACAGGAAGACTTCTATACAGCATGTTTTTCACTCAAGATTTTATGCATAACTGCAGAGTGAGTAACAATTTCTGGGAAATGTCACTTTGCAGCATCCCTGGCTCTGCAGTCTGTGCCTATGACATGCTTGACATTGCCAATGTATTTACTGGGAGATTCAAAGAACAAAAGTCTCCAGATTCCACATGGACACCAGTTCCTGATGAACGAGTGCCCAAACCCAGGTATGTTTCATGTGCAGTGATACTGTTCTGTTGCATGCAGAGTTTTGACAATTTGAATAGCCTTTTAAAGTACTGATCCAAATGAAGGTATATATTGTAGTAATGAAAAAGGAGTTAAATTGCATTTAGAACTAAGATATGAAAATGGGATTTTTTTCATTTAGATCACATTTGTGTAAAATAAATCAGGCCAGTATCATATCCAGAATAACTGGCATTTTAATAGAGGTATGAGTTACCTGTTGCAAATTGGTTCAGTAATGGATGTTTCTTGTAGCAAAGTCTATACTAGTTCTGAGAATTGCTCTTCTGGGGTTAACAAACAATTCACTTGCAATAGAGGATGGGGAGGCAGGGCAGGCAGCATTCTATCAAAATAGAGGTTTGTTTTACGTCATTTCTCCCGAGTTGCTTTTCCTGCTTCCACTTCCCTCCTGTTTGCATGTAGTTCCCTTATTACACTTTCTTTGTATTACCTACAAGCACCCCTTTTGTGCAAAATGGTGTTGATAGTCATTTGTTAATCCATTTACACGCTCTAAGAATATGATGAAAATGTACATAGAGCAAATTAATTTATCTTGCAAAACCTCTACCACTTTAATATATGTTTTATATTACCTGTGTTATCTTTCATAATTTAAAATAAATAAATAAATAAATAATCTAAAACTCTGTGGTGGCTACTAGGATTCTACACAAGTCCAGATTTAGCCCACCATGTTTTAGAAACTTACCAAGTATACTGTCCCAATGCTGTGTTTACTCTGAGGTTGTCAGTCAAGAGAAGAACCTGGTAATGCCTGGAAAATCTCATAAATTCTGTGTCTGTTTTTAGTATGAGCCCTAGAGAGGCATCTACCTGCACTGGCCCTGGATTTTCTTCTCCTTTTTGCAGTGTTTCAGCAACTCACTGGATAGGCTACCTTGGTGAAGAAAGGCTGCAAGAGTGCTCCAAGATCATTTATTTGAAAACAATATTCATATAAAGAATATTTGCAGGGACAAGGGAAAAGCATAAAGAAAAATTTTATTTCTTTTCAGTGGGAGGGGGGAAGAGAAAGTTGCCTTGTAAGTTTATGAGATGATCCAATAGCATGCTAACAGTCACAATGAAGAGAGGATATTGTTCCTTCTTCTAAGTCAGTAGGAGATAATGATAGCTGAACCAGTAAACAGTGTTTCATATAATATTTGGCCATCAACCCACTTAATGGAAATAATCATTACTAGCAACTCATGTTGAAATTCAGAAGAGGCAAAAGATGCCTTTGAAATAAGGTCATTTTTGTTTGGATATCTCAGTATGGTACAGAAACATTAGTGCTCCTATTGACTCTAACATTTGTCAGAGGTTTACTGGTTTACTGGAACCTTTCAAGGGCCTTGCTTCCCTTTTTTCTTGAGATGAACAGGAGGGTTTACTCAGTTTTATGTTTATTCAATTAAGCCAGTTTTGAGATTATAACAGAATTAATCCAATTATGTGATTAAGATTTAGGAAAAAATAGGCCTCCAGATTAGATGTACAGAAATTCTAGGTACTGAAGTGCCAGAAAGCATAGGCTAGAGAATTTCACCCAATAAATCAATGCATTTGTCAAGGACTTAGGATATCGGTGATGCCCTTGATTTCTCCTTGTCTCCCTTTATTGGTAATTCTGTATGTAGTCACAAAATAACCAGCATATTTTGGATCTAGAGAGGCAGAGCACACAATCTGTGCATACTGTTTATTACACATCTGTGCAGGAGTATATTTGTTGACCCAGTTAATCCCTTCTGGTCCTGTGTTAGCTTCCTACATAACATTTGGTTACCTAAGTTTTGAATATTTATCTAAATCAGAGTGGCAGATATGACAGAACCAGAATTACACTTTGTTCAAGGTGGAATTACTTCATTGATGTTAGTGGCTCTACCTACTTTAGATCAAATGAAGATTGGACACTGCAAAATGATTATGAGTGGATTATCTTCTCATCTCACAGTGGCTCAAAGGCTGAAGAATCATAATGGTCCAGGAAATGGGATCAAATGAATTTTTTGTTGGAGAATGTAATCCACAAATTATTAATAACAGGCAGAGAATGATGCTGCTGATTACCTGTTGAAGCATGAAAGTTAAATTACCTTAGAGGAAGAGGATAGATTTTAGGAATACAGTGAGTAGATTTGCATTTAAATTGTCCAAGAATGATTATTTAACTTTTCAGTCAAAGTCCTCTATGTACTACAACACTTAAATTCTCCCTGAAAGAAGGGTAAAACCAACGCTTGCATGGATGCTAGCTGGGTTGTCTTCTTCAGTAGTCCTTCTCCTACCAGAAAGTACTGAAATCAGCACTCTTTGACCCATAAAAACAATCTCCTTCCATATGATATAGATTTCTTTTATTCCAAGAAAGAACGGTCAGCTAGTCAAGTTACACATCAGAAAGTGTCTTTGACAGTGAACATCATTAAGTCAAATACACAGATACAGTAATTAGGTTCCATGTGAGTGGACAAACTACAAGCTGTGCACATGAAACTACTGCTAAAGAAGCGGATTTGTTCTTTTACATGGCAGCATGGAAGTTCTTTTGGTCTGGAGTGGAGGATAGAAGGCTTCGGGCTTTCCTGAGGAGCTGAACAAGTCCAAGAGACTTCTCAATCCTTCATTTGAGACATTGCAATGCACTTCAGATTTTACGGAGGACATCATGACAGTTGTTACAGAAATGAGATTTGCACTTAGACATCAAATAAGTGTTCTGGATTTGCCTTCTTGTTTTATTTAGGCCTGGTTGCTGTGCTGGCTCTACATCATTAGAGAAATATGTAACCTCTAATGAGTTCCCAGACGATACTCTGAATTTCATCAAAACACATCCACTGATGGATGAGGCCGTACCTTCTATTGTCAATCGACCCTGGTTCCTGAGAACGATGGTCAGGTAAGTGCCTCCAAATGGACACTTCCTCATTGTAGCATGCTGTCAGGTTGTGCTAATGATCTTGCTTACAATGTTCTCAAATTCTATAAACATCCCTGGTGTGCTGGGCATGACTCCAGCTAGGAAAGATGGCAGTGCTGAGCAGATGCTGTAGAACTCCCTGAGCAGCTTCCGAGATAGGAAATAAAACTCACTTCTTTCCAACCATGCTGGGCTGAAACCGGATCCTGGGGGAAATGAAGTGCAGGGAATGTTGACCTGCCTCTTGGCTTATGGATCAGTGTTTGAGACAGCTCTGTAGAAAACTTGGGGCAAGGATCAACAGATAGCCTAGGGATATGTATACAGGATACAAGCATCCCTACCAGGATATGTTCACAGGATATGAAGATGTCTGTTGTGATATGTACTGGTATGTTTTACTGTTTACAGAAGTGTGCGGGCAGAAGTAGTCACATAATCTGTATTCTTTCTATGACAACAAGAGAAAAATAATAAAGAAGAGACTTGAACAAAGACTCATAATCAAAAAGCCTCAAATACACCATACCCTTCCTCTGAAAATATGTCCCCACTCTCCTGTGTCATGCAGTGGTCACTATGCTACTTTTCTGCCCTCCAGCTGTGGTTGGAATGAAGTGACTAACTTTTGCCATATTTCCCATATTATTTGCCATATTATGAGTAGTGTTTAGCACTAGAAGGGTTTAACTTAGTTTTATGAAGTGTATGTTCTGTCAGGTACTTATGCTGGATCAAAGGCCACTTATTTTCAATTTGGAGCAAAAATCGATGACACATGATGATCCCTGGCTCATAGAGGTATCAGTTCTCTGATCTTAGTCTAGTCCTGGACAAGCTGCTTCCCACATGGGTCATCTTTAGCTTCCAGTTATGTTATATCTGGGGCCTCACTTGGGAGCCAAAATGCCTGGGCTGGTGTGCCTTGAGGTTAAAGCAGAGACCCTGTGTTTAACACTGTATGGACAGCTGGTGCAAAGAGTTGTTGTGAGGTCATGGTAAACTACGTTCCTGAGGAAATGTTGAAAACCCTGGGGTTTATAAAGGCCAGGTGGTTTCAGGCCCAGCAACATTGCTCTACTGCATTCCAGTTACATAACTCCAACCAAAGATGAGAACAGCAAGCTCCGTAGAGTGCTTTCCTTTGATCTACAGTACCTGATAACTATTACCAAATAATCTCCATTACTCATCTTTAATAAATGATGTGATCCCACAATTTATACTGCCTTAACACTGAACTTGCTTAGTGGTTGTTATATGATTATTTTTAGTCAGATAAAATAATGTTTACTTTCTCAGCATTTTCTCAGAGTTGTATAGGCACAGCTTTTCCTGCCAAAAAAAAAAAAAAAAAAAAAAAAAAAAGTTGAATGTAGATCTGTTACCAGTATTGCTGCTTTTAATGTAACTGAACATGAAATTAAAATAAATAAATAAATAAAAATCACTGTGCTGATTTTCTTTCCCTGTTTGTAGAAAACATCAGGCTAGTACTTTGGTTTTGTTTGGAAGGATAATTCCTAAATTGTCTCAGACTCTTAACAGCCCTTCAGCCTTCTGCGTGAGGTTTGCTGTTGCAGACATGTCTGCTAACTATTTGACATCTGGATAAGCACACAAACACATGGAAATTCCCCACCATTTGGGGAGCCAAACTGGTACAGTCTGTATTGACTTACAGGGTTTTTCAGTTAGAAGTGCTTAAATATGCTATATGGCTGCTCAAAAGCTATCACACAGTTATTTGAAGTGGAAAACATGATAAAATAAATGGCAATCTAATCCACATGATGCAAAATGCTGTATTGTTTTTCTAGATACCGCCTGACCAAAATTGCTGTTGACTCTGCTGCTGGGCCATATCAGAACTACACTGTGGTTTTCTTGGGATCAGAGAAGGGAATCATCCTGAAGTTCTTGGCACGGACGGGAAACAGTGGTTTCCTAAATGACAGCCTTTTCCTGGAGGAGATGAACGTTTACAATCCTGAAAAGTGTGTATCTGATTCTTTGTACTCATGTATGGGTGACTTTTGACACTTCTGATTTTCCAGAGAGCAAGTTGTCCCATGAAAAGGGAAGCGGGCTAGAAGAAGCCAAGTTCTCTGAGTCATTTTATATTGTTTTGGGGGGATGTCTGGTTGTCAGTCTCTATATTGAAATAAAATATTTTTTTCAGCATGTCTAGAAAATAGCCCATCATCCTATGCAGCAGTTGAGGGATAATTAAAAGCAAAATTCTGCAAAGGAAGATTAATTTTCTAATCCTATAAAAAACTGATTCCTCTCCAAATAACTCACTAACCAGCAAGCTACTCTCCAAGGGAAATTTCCCACATTTTCGCCTTCCTTAAATATGCCTAAGGGGGCTTTGAAGAGGGTCATAAGCATGCAGAAATTTCAGCAACTTTGAGTGCTGGAGAAGGATAAACAGAAAAACTGAAGGGCCCTCAGAAATCTTGTCTGGTGTGTAGTATCTCTCCACTTCTCTGGCCCCATGCATTTTTAATGCATGCTTTAATACTTGCTTATGTATCTTTCTGTCACTGCATTTAATGGCTATTGTGTGTTCTTTTTCTTCCTTGGCTTTTTCAGTTCTCCCCTTTTCAGATTTTGTTTATGTTTTTTGTTGTCATGTTGGTTTTTTTTTGTTTGTTTGTTTTGTTTTTGAGATTGAGGAATCATTAGGTTTTCATTTGGTTTCCAGAGGAACTCACTTGTAACTTCATCTCACATTTTTGAATCAGGTGCAGTTATGATGGCGTGGAAGACAAGCGGATTGTGGGTATGCAGCTTGACAAGCCCAGCAGTGCCCTTTATGTTGCCTTCTCTACCTGCGTCATCAAGGTTCCCCTGGGGCGGTGTGAGCGCCATGGCAAATGCAAAAAGTATGTGCTTTGTGGTGGCACTTGCCCTCTTGTTGTAAGCCCGTGTTCCAGGCATGGGGAATGTGAGAGCACTCAAGAATGCCTCCTTCTGCTCTTCTTTCTCAAGGGCCTGCATAGCATCCCGAGACCCCTACTGCGGCTGGGTGAAGGAGAGCGGGGTGTGCACACAGCTGGTCCTTGGCGCTAAGTGAGTAATGGCTTTTGCTGGAAGGGCCTTGAAGCGCTGGCAGTGGCGCCGGACAGACTTGGAGTGAGCTGTTTGAAATGTGGGGCTCTCAGGGTAGAAAAATGCGTAAAGTGTTTGTTCCTACCTTATTTGCATTCTCTGAAATTTCTCACAATTTTTTTTTTTTTGGTGTGAACTGTCAGCTGATTGGTGACTGCTGAAAGAAGAGGAAGAATAAAATGAAAGAGCTGTACTAAGGCCCACGTGTTGTTGAAAAGAGGGAACTGGATGGCTGTGTCTGGACCAGCCCACACTGGAGCCATCACAGCTGATTAAAGAGGCAATAGAATCCAAATTAAATTACTGAAGCAATTTGTCCACTGAAAACAAAACCAGTCCTTCTAATTTACTGTGCATTACTAAGAGGAATCACAGAGCACAGTAAGAGCTTAAAGTAGATTCAGAGAAGTGCTGGATCTCCCCTTGCTTAACAGTAGAATTTAATTATTTTATAATAATGAAAGTCTGTGAGGTTTTGTTTAAGTATGGTTACTTAAGCCTTGCAGGAAGCAGACCTACTTCAGACCTCTCATTTCTTGGACACATCTGACACAGCTCACACTTGCCCACTCTGATGTACAACTAAACTTCAAGATAATGGTGTAAGTGTAGCATAAACATCACATAACCCCAGGAGCCCCACAGCCAGCCCAGCTTAACCCTGTGTCTGTACAGGTCTTCAGCATATAATGGATGAGTTATCATGTTCTTAATTTGCCATTTCAATTCAAATAGTCTTGTCCACTTTGGAAACTATAGCTATGTCTAAATACTTATATGCTTTATGGAGGCTGTTTCTGTTGGATATTTGGTAAAATACCATTGAAGTTCACCTGTGTGCATATGAGGTTTTCTCAGCCTTCTAGAGGTGCTTGAGGTTTTTTGCACTTGCCATGTCAAGGTTATGGGGAGTTTTGTACCTTACTTTCAAAAATGTCTCTACTATTTATCAATAAATCCATCAAGACAGGAGCAATGCAGCTTCCAGTAGTGCAGTTCAGAGGTGAGTATGGCAGGTTGCTCTCTATCCAATACAAACCACTTGGGAGGAGATCCAGATCAATTGTTCGGATGTCTGGTGGACTTCTAAAATAACCAACAGGAGGCAGAGATGTTAGGTGCCCTCCTGGAGTAGGTGACAGTTGAGCAGTAGTTTTAAGGACATAGTGCTGGGAATTAAGTGTCTATATGGGTAATGATGCCCCCACAGAAGGATCCTGCCTAATGTAGACAGGAGCTTGTATTGGAGGTTTTCCAGGGCTCTTGTCACTCATCTCTTACTGTATCAGGAACTTGGAAGAACAGCTTCACTAGTTATCCAAAATAACTGGCACAGGTTAGGAGTCTGAATTGAGCATGTCAGCTAGGAAAGCCTTTAAGTATTAATCAGTACAGGCCCTTAAATTCAGCATAATTCACTTTGTGATCTGGACCTTATGCCCTGCGACCATGTTCAGTGCACTACCTACAAAATTTTGAAAATGCAAGATTTTCCCCCCAGCACAGTACCTAGCCAATAGTTTAGCTTCGTTCCCATGTCAAAACATTGGTGCACTTTGACTACTGTATGGACAAGTCAAGGTAGGATTGTAACTGCTCATGATAATGTCTTTTTTTTTTTTTTTTTGATTGAATAGTTTAAAAATATATGAATGTTTGCCTCCCTTGACAATGAGGTATGCAGTAGATTTTCAAAGAAGAAAAAAAAAAACAAAAGAAAACAAACAAAAAAATAAACAAGGAGTCATCAGAAGCCAAAGACTCACTTAGCAATGACAAAAGAACTGAATGCCTATTTTGGAATTTTTTAGCCTTCATGGGGAAGTTTCAAAGAAATGGCTGGTTTCATGGTGTGTCTTTATTTCAGTTGCAGATGCGATAATTTCTTTCTGGTGGTGCTTGTGACTGTCGTTACTCATACTGTTATGTTTCTTTCTATTATTTAGGCTGGCATTTGAGCAGGACATAGAACATGGCAATACAGATGGCCTGGGTGACTGCCAAAGTAAGCAAAGCTTTTACCCTCTATTTACCATGTGTAACAGTGTCTTTCTGAATGCCTCAAATCACCCTTACCTGTCGAGCATTCTTTTGTAGCAATGTAAGGCACAACAGGGAGGGCAACTGCAGCTAAAGGTACAGGAAAAGGAGGCACAGCTTTTTAAATGTATTTAAATAGCCCAATTGATGTGATTTATACAAACACTGGTCTTCATATCAGTTATGTACTGGAAAGACCGTGGTTCTAGAGGATATTGATTATAGCAGTGAAATAATGAGATGAGTGTTCATTGTGTTTATCAGTCATGATGGTTGGGATGTTTATCTAGATGTGCAGAAGGAGCTTGGTTTCTTGTATAGACTGTGACTTGGACTACACTCCCATGCATAACAGGGAGACAGTGAAACATGTCTTCATCTTTGGATCAAAATCAAGAAGTGGGAGCTTATGTGTTTGTGAACCTTAGTTGATATTACAAACAGGCTGGACAAAGTAGCAATGCTAAGGATCAGGTACTACTGATCCTGCCTAAGAAATGTTAATGGTAAACCTTAGGTACTGACAGCATGAGTTGGAAGCTTAAACACAGTCTTTAAACATTTACATTTTGCACTGAGATGCTTAAAAATGCCCAGCTTGCACTATGTGCAAAGAAACCTTGGATGTTGATTTCTGAGCTGTCAGGAACACCAGCAGCTGTGTAGCTTGTTCAAGACAGCTGTTGTTCCAAATGTTCTTGCCAAAATTGGTTTAATTCTGAGCCCCAACTATTATTTACAAACCTTATGAAATCAAGAATCACATTCTTTTTGGTGCAATTTGCACTAATGCCTGTAGACACACACCCAAAACAAAACAAGAACAAAAAACAAAAACAAAACAAACAAAATAAAAATAAATTAAATTAAAAAAAAAAAAAAAAGAGCTCAGGAAGTGAGAGAGTCATTACTTTTGGAATGTAGCATAAAATAACAGAGGGCAAGAGTGTGCTCTGGGATACAGTGCAGTCCATAATCTATGGAGAAACCTAGAACTTTCTTGTGCCTTGCGCATCCTTGTTCAAGAGTCATTTATTATTGTGATCACTGTACTTATGGGAGTACAAGGATTTCAGTCTCTGCATGCCCTCGTCTCAGCTACACCTCCCTGTGCCCTAAAATTGGTCCATTTAGGGCTCTTTAAGTTTTTTGAAGGAGGTGTACTCACAGTCCGTTCTGTGATCCCTGTAAAATGGGCTAGCACCAAAACCGGGTCAGTTCCCAGCTGGTACAACTTTGCCCTTTTCAGCCCTTTTCAACATAGTTCTGCTCTCCTTGGGCAAATAGGTTAGACAGGATTGGAGTCTACCTGACATCAGTTACACATTAAAGTGTAGGAGATGATTCAGAAAGAGCAAGTTGTGCTCATGGAGAGAGTTCTGCTCCTGTACAGCGAACAGTAAAGCCAATACCCTGCCTAAGTCCCTCTTCAGCCCCGAAAGGTGCATTGAACCTTGACACTGCACAGGGGTAGATTTCACTCCCTGCTAAGCTAACTGATCTTTTTACTTTATGTGGTCGTGTATCATGTGAGTTTTGTCCTCATCAGCTCATGATTATAGCTTTATCACTCATCCTGCCTTGCACTGGAATAAGATGTGACCTTGCAAAGAAAGCCATGGCAAAGAGAAAACTGTCCTTCCCATTTGTCCCTTGCATGGGGCTAGTCATGAACACTTTTAGAGTCAGACATTGTTTAAAGGTATGTCTGAATATTAGTTTTGCCTGGATCCTTAGGATAAAAATCATATACATATAGATACCAGCTGAAGTATAAAAGGTTGCTAGCAGCAAACTACTAAAAACAAAACAAAACAAAAAGAGAGAAATAATGATTTTTCCCCTGTTATTTGTCTTTCAGATTCCTTCGTAGCCCTGAATGGTAAGGAAGTTCGTAGTTTCACTTTTTACTGACAGAAAATCCATTTTGGAGGAATCACTTTTTACTAAACTTTTACGTATTTTCATATTTTTTTGTTTTATTTAATGTTTCTTCCCAATTTATTTTGTTCATAGACATTTCAACTGCTTCACCCGATCATGAAATGTCTTACGACACAGTGTATGGTCAGTTTATGGGTGTTTTAAATATTCTTCCTGGGTTCTTGTATTAGCTAGTAGTTTCTCTAGTCAAATAACAGCTAACGCTTTATTATTTGTTTTGTCTTGATTTTGAGGGCCTGATTCACTAATCACGAGTAAGGTTAAGTCATGCTTCTTGATTTGCAATCCCTCTTTCCCAGTCCTCCCTCAAAACTCTCTCCATTGAATTAAAGTCAGATATGGCCAATTTTAATGGCACTCCAGCAGACATGATTAAGAGCATGCTTCATCTGAACACTCAGACAAAGGAACACTTGGAAACACTGATGCATTTTATCTGTTCCCTGGGAAAAACAAAATAGCTTACATCCCACTCATGAGTCGTCCAGGCTGGTGTTATGACTGTTACAGCAGCTAGTCACTGATAACTTAGGGAAAGGAGCAGAACTGTCCATGGGTGATAGAAAATCTCTCATAAAGCAAATTAACTATTACCTGTGTCAGCTGAGATGGGGTTATGCCCTGAGTCCCAAAGGTTTCTCTCACTTCTGGAGTGAGTAATTTATGTTGTACATGGTTGCAGTATCATAACACCCCTATGGTACCTGGTCTGTAAATAAAAAGGGGGATTCGCACACCAAAGTTGAAAGAAGCATTTTTGCTAGCCTGGAGTAGCAGTTTCCCACGAGGTAGCTGTTAATCTGCACTTGCAGTACTTTACACCACTTTGTTCTATGTTTGGAAGTGGATTACAGTGTCACTTGGAGTAAAGAATAAGTGTCTTCTTGAGGAATTATTGCAGAATAAATAATCACTTTAAATTCAAACCTAGACTTATATTGCAATAGTTTCTCTTCTTAGACATCCTGAACAAAAACAAGTACTCACAAGCTAAGAGGATGTGTGATACTGTTCCCAATGAAGGCAATGGCTAATTCCCATTTGGAAATTTGGAGGGCTGGGAACTTGCTTGTGAAATTGCTTTCATTCAGGCTGTGCAAGACAAACAGTTCTTCAGAGCTTAGAGAAAATTATAATATGTGTGGCTGAATATAGCTAGAGGTAGGTTAGTTTGCTGTTGTGACGATGCACATTAGATTGGTCCCTTCGTCTCCTGCCTGCAAAATATGTAGATGCAAACAGAACCAATGGCAACACATGACAGTACAGCAGAATATAAGTAACAAAATAATACTGATCAGCATTTAAAAATAAATTAAATAAAATTTCCCATGTTATTACCAGGAAATGGAAAATGTGCAGGTGAAATTTGTTTGCAAGTCTGATAATAAAAAACAATGAGGGGAATACACAAAATCTAAGTTGAGACTTCGTAATGTATGGAAGACTGATGGTTTCATCTGTGTATAGAGTTTGTCATTTCTTTCTGTTGAAAATTGCTATACATCCAAAACATAGAGCAGTAATTAAAGCATAAGTAATAATAATAAAAACCATACTGCTGAATCTAAAGAAAAAGAAAATAGCCCTGGGCCTACTGCTAACATGCCAGAAATGTCTTTGAATTCCTACTACTAAGTGTGTTTGGAGGCTGCACAGTTATAGCTGTAGACTGTGGTTCTGGATCCCATCAGCTACCATATTAAGAGGGAGTTTAGCCAAAGCTGGTATTTTAATCTGACCAAGAAAGCAGAAAAATGGTTTAAGTGAGTGTCAAAATGAAAAAAGCTGTAGTCCCAGAGGAGTACAGTATAGTATAGGTATAGGGAGTATACTTGCATGTCAAGCACAGTGATAGATTTCATGAATGAACCCAGCTCTTAAAGTAAGATCCCACTGACAAATGTAAGAGAAAGTGCTGAACCAACACAAATGTTGGTTCCCATTCATGCCCTCTTTCACAGATGATTTCATTGACATTTCTAATGTAGATTCTGATACATGGTCACTCAGCAAGACAGCCCTTCCTTTATGGGTTCAGTTGAAATAACCTTGATGATGTTACTGTAGTTAGTCTCTTTCCACCTACCAGGGCAAAATACAAAGGGAAAAGTGCTAGTCACCTCTCTTGATCTTCCCCAAGAAGACTGTAGAAACTTCCAGCACTAGACAGTAAAACAGTCTCAGTAAACAGCTCATGTTTGCTAAATGTTATGTCTGCTCTTTTTTTTTTTTCTTGAGCAAATAAAATTTTATAGTTTATTTTAGTGTTATTGAATACAATTAAATATGTAACTAAATGATAATTCATAATAGATTAAACCTCAGAACACTGGAACATACCAGGATGCCAATCAAATGAATGCTCAGGATGCCAAATGCTCAGATGCAAAAGTCTTATAGCTAGATTACCCCTTTTGACTGATTTACACCACTATAAATCAGATCTCTGGTAGACTTACTGCCACTCTGTAGCAGTGTACATGAAAGGAAAACTGAGCCCTTAATCTGTGTATTCCTTACATCAGCCTCCTTCTGAAATTGGCAGATAGGCTCCCTTTTCTGGGGCAGTCTTACATGATCAGTTGTAAACAAGTAACAAAAGTGCAAAGTCCACACAGGTGACTATTCAAGTACATCCTTTTTGACACCCAAGGGGAGAATAGGAGGCTGAAGTTGTGTTGCAGGTCAGAGATGAATGATGTGAGAGACATATTTAAACAAAGAGATGAGCTTAGATTCTTCCACAAAATTGTAAGCAGCTTCAATTACCTTTGGAAACATCAATTCTTAGTGAATTGGGCCCTTATCTCACCCCCTAGCCATATTCCTTTCTCCCTCTGTAGTATTGATTTAGCCTTTCCCTCTAATTGTCTAATTAGGTTGCTATAGCTGTTAATAGGATAGTGTGTGGACATCTTAACCTCCGAGATCCTAATGACTTGTGCATATTAGAGCAACTATCAAATACGTATTGAATCCCTGTCTTTGTTTTAAAGCTGAAAAAATCTCCTTATATTTTACAAGTGCACTTCAGAACAAGCTGTAGTTACAGAAGTGCAGCCCTTCTGAATCATTATCCATGCCCATAGACACTAAGTGCTTTTACTGAGGTCCTATTACTTGATTACAGCACTCCAAATGAAAAGTTTTTGCAAATAATGGAAGCACCCTAAAACAGATTTTTTAAAAGCCTGTCTATTTTGAAATTTTCATGTTTGCTTTAAACAAAGAAGTTTGAAAAGCACTATGTCTGCAGCTTTTCAGGTGGATTGTTTTAAAACAAAGGCAGATCTTTAGTTTTTAGATGTTTAGGTGTATGAAAAGCTAGTCAATACTAACATAGATGTACTGGCTACACCTCAGATATGCTAAAGCCTCTTTAAATTGCAGCAAAGCCTATTTACACAGTCAGAGTGGTAAAAATGGTGTGATGGGGAAAAAAAAGCCCACTACATGTTGCAAACCATACAGCACATTGTAAAGGTTTAATAATGGCTGCGTGTGAAAGGGACAGGAGTGGGTTGCCTGCCACTTCAGCCTTTTCTCTGTTTATGAAAGAAATAACTAGCTCATATGTTTCTGGTGTCACTCAGCTCGGTGGTGAAATTCTCCCAGCAGGACTGACTGTTCAGCCACTTACAAGACACAGTGATAATGCTTATGGTGTCTGGTGTGGCAGCCACTGCCCAGTAGCAACTGTTTGCAGAATACAGCTCCAACACAAGCAGGGTAGGTTATTAAGGTTAATCTGCTCCTGCCCTGCTTCCACAAAATGGAAGAAAGTTTATGTTGATTACATGTGGAGGACTGTTTCTCAGTGTGTACTAGACTAGCACATTAGTAACAGAGCAAATAGACTGATTTCTCACAATTGTGTGAAACCTTCCTCTACCTAACTGCCATCTGGTATACATTACTATCTTCACAAAGCCTAAGCTTTCAATTTCCAAGAACTTCTCCATGTATTTGCAGCATATGGTTGAGGAATTTTTTTTATTTTTTTTAGAAAATGCGTCCCTTAGGCATATATTTCCTCTAGATTACTGTATTAAGAAACATTTTTCTTCAGCCATACTTTTGTCTTTTCCTTAAAATTGTCCCTTTAAGCACACCAAAAGTAAAAGTGTCTGGACAGAGATATGGACATATAAATGCATATGTAAGGCATGTATAAAATATAATTGCTGCTTTGCAAGATTTCCTTCTCTTCCACCTCCTTATCAAGCTTTGACTAATTGCTTTCTTATGTTGAGTGCAGAACTATTTGTAGGCTGACCAAATGTTGTACACATTATTGTGGCCATTGAATGGGGTATTAACTTGAAGACTGAAACCCCATGAATTCTGGCACTGTGGTTTAGTCCTTAGGGAAAAGAAGACATGGAAATCTCATAACTTTGGCCTATTCTCTAGCCTATTCTATGTCCCATTGTTCCTCTTATTTCTTGAGAATGAGCACAGGAATTGACAAGCGTAAAATGGTATAGAAGTGAAAGCTTTCATGCTCCAGTGTATTCTTGCTTCAAAAGGGCACGTGTTTTCAGCCACTGGGCCTCTACCCATCCTTTTGGAAACAGGCAGCCCTGTAGAACTGCTGTGGAACAGGCAGCAAGTCTGGATTGAAGCCCATCATCCATCTAACTGTGTGTTACGAGTGCTTCCAGCCATGCTGTTGCTTACGGAAACCTTCTAGTAGAGAATAATATTTGGCTTCTCTTTCCTATTTGGGCAACATTAAAAGCGCCATCTTAAAAAAAATACACCCTCTAGTTTGCCATGTTAAAGAAAGGTGGCTAGGGGGAGGAAACCACCCTTCCTACCAGGAGAGAGAAAAAATACAGTGCCCTCATCAGCATAAGCCCTCAGCCTGAGGTCCAGTGCTCAATTAATTGTATTAATGATTACCTGTAGTACCTGAAGGGTGAGAATTCTGCATGGTGAGTATGCTGAATCTCACCAGCTTGCCCTACAAAGAGCGCTGGTTATAGAAGTTAGTTCTCTCCATATCCTGTGCAAAACACAGTCCAAAGTACTGCTGCACACAAACCTGCACGCTAAATCAAACATATGCAGAGGAGCACGGGCATTTTCTTCCCCTCCAAGATCATTAATATTCAGCAGAATTTCTTTAAATCATAGCAGCATCTTAACAGAAGCTGCAGTATTTTTGCGGATTTCATCAATATTTCAATCTGATGAAGCTGCTAAAAGGGCTGGATAAAATGAAGCACTTGTCTGTATTGAAGAACATTCAGATTTCTGATGGCTAGAGGGTAGTTGGGAAGCTGAAGTTCATCAGCTCTCCATGCACTGAAGGGACTGATGTTGCTTCTGAGATCAGGGACCAGAATGGCCAAAGCACTGGTGCAAGTGGTGAAAAGAAACTTTCAGAAATGTGGTGTGCTTGGAGTTTCAGTGCCCACTTTCCCAGGAGTCATGGAGCAGCTGAGCCACTGCAAGTCCAGGTTGGGGCCATCATTCAGAAACCATAGACTCCAAGCGTACTGCATTTTGGGTGTTGACCTACTTCCTGGGGTTGAGCTGCAAAGGACATACATATCTACAAATATATTTATGCCAAAGCCAAACCACTGTTAAAATTGTGCAGTGTTTCTGGCAGGTCATGTCCTGTGAGTGTGCTGTTAGGGTGTGTTCAACCAGCAAGGAGTTCCTCAGTCATGTTCAGGATGGCAGTGACAATGCCTAGAGCAGCTGTGAAACTCAGGGGAGCAGGGCTGTAATCCTCTCTTCCAGTCAAGAGGTCTACCCTGTGTGACAAATGCAAAGCAGATCACATCCTAAACTTTCCTCCTTCAAAACGGGCCTTCCAGTGTTCAAAGGGGCCTGAAGCAAGCAAGCAATGCCACATCTCTGTCCTGAGAGGTCTACCAACCAAGTGTGCTTTGAAGACAGTTACAATTTCTTGGCCAGATTCATGTAATAAGGCCTTCACTTCACTGTTAATTTGAGCAGAAATGATGTGTGGCTCTTTGCTAGCAGTCCTTACCTCAGAGCCATTGTAGACCACTGCTCAGACAAGACTGGTGGAAATGGTGCAAGTAGGCACAAACCCAGTGTTTTTTCCATCCCCAGTGCACAGGTTCTGGGCAGCCTCTCATTCCCTCAAGAACACTAGGCAGAGAGCAACAAACATCATCATGTTGTAGCTATTCTGGCATTCCACTCCAGTTCTGGTGGTGCTAGAAGTTGTTCCATTTTATTGCTTAAATTGCTGTTGAAATTGCTTTTCTTCCTAAGCCAGTGCCAGACAGTGTGGACTGATGCTTCGGTATCAGGCTCATGTGCAGAATCCAGCTGAAGGACGTTTGACTAAGACAAAGAGTCCTCATGCTGCTCCACATGCATTTAACACTGCTGGGCAAAAACACACAATTGCAATCTGAGCTGCAGCCAACCGCACACATATGCAGCCATTAACACCATCCCACTGGACAGTTTGGAAAGTCCAAATTCTGTGTTTCCTTCGAGCAACACTTTGCAAGGCCTTCAAAGCCATGCTCAGCCTACGAGGTTCACCCATGGAGGAAAGCAAAGGTTGTGCTCCTGAGCATGAGGTGGCATGGTAAGTGACTAATGAGACTTGTCTTCCCTACCTGTATTTATAATGTAAACAGGACACTCCAGTTCACTAGTTCCAAGCACCACCTCTTCCAACTCTCGGGCTCGACAGGGTTATGATGCTAGGGGACGCATGCTGGATTGGAAGGATCCGCTTGGTTCATCCGAAAATACAGACCCATATGTGGCAGTTTCATCCCATAATCATCAAGACAAGAAGGGTAAGGCCTTGGAAATGACTTCCTGTGGTGAGGAGGGAGGGGGGGAGGACTGAAGTGTAACTGCTTCCAGCTGGCTCAGAGCAACATGTAATAAAACTCCTGTGCTATAATTAAAAGCTTATCGTAAAGCCTGAAACTAAACAGCCAATCTCAGACTCAGTCCTAGATAATTCACTGCCTGAGGAAACCACACAAAACAAATAGAAATGTATGCCTTTGCCGTGTGTATTGTACATGTGCATGGGAAGGAGGGAAACAGTGGGGATTTAGCTCTCTTTAAACTTGATCTTCCCCGTTGTCTGACAAAGGCAGATTCGTGGCTTTCCATTTTTCTTAAGAGTGCACTTTTATATTGCCTTTTTGTCTGAATTCCTGGGGCAGCACAGCAGGTCTCAGCTAATTTCACATTATTTCTGTCTCTTGCTGTCAGGAAGAAATACTGAAGCTCCGAGGTTGGCTCTACTTTAACTGGTGGAGTTACACAGATGCTGGTCCTAGCCACTGGACCTGAGCATCAAATGCCTTTGAGAATGAGGGCTGCAGAGATCATTAGTGTATTTCAAAAGATCCTTAGGTGGTTGCTGGTAGGGAGAGTTTCTCTGCTGCATTTTTAAAGAGCCAAAAGGTGCTTTGATTTAGGTGGTGTTTCACCCTGTTCAGCCCTGTGCTGAAGCATGCTTGTGCCTGAGACAAGGGACAGCCCTGCCATTTGGCCTCTAGTCCTGCTTTGCTATGCATGCAGAGAATTAGAGAATTGCCTAAACTTGCCATTTGAACCTGCTTAGGGACAGAGTAGCCTTTCTCCTGAGCGAGGATGGTAGTGACCCATAGTTCTGTCATGGCCCTCCATCATTCTTCCTGCTGCTCTCAATCCGTATCTGAATGAGGTTAAAATGGTTCCTTTGTAAATAGGGGGCTTAGGTTCAAATATCTCCTCTGCCTAGAGAGATTTAAGTCCTTGTTATTCTTCTCCAGGGTGTTCTTAGATCTCTTCTTTCAATCTCTTCCCTGTTGAAGATGTTTCACTCTGTATGGACTAATTAAGTACTCAACGGGCCAGAAGGAGGATGGGTATAAGCAAAACTCACTTGCTGAGTGGTTAGGGCACTCACCAGGGGCAGGAACACACATGAGCTTCAGGCCTTTCTACTATGAATACTTTATAAAAAACACTTAAAATATTAATTGAAATGTGGATTCCAGTCTCTGTTGTTCATGCATTTTACATGAAAAACTCATTAGACAAAAGCATCAGCTGTTCCTGGAGAAGCTACTAGCATGCCAGACCTACTGCTTTGAATTGTCTGCCCAAACTAGTAGGTTACTAAATCATATTCCTTCCCCTCTGCCTGACCCACTGAGTCTTGAATTCTCTGCACTCACTGTGGAGATTTTCAGCAGGGGCTAATGAGCATGTTAACATTGCAATACAGTTTTCAGCAGAGCTTCACGAGCAGCTGGCAATGGTCTGGACTGTAAACTCGGTGCCTGGCATTCACAGCAGCCCCAGACACACGATGTCTCCCACAGTCTTGGGATATCTCAGAGATTTCTCATTGAACTCTTCTCAAAGAGCCTTCACAGCTCCTGTTCACAAGGGCAGTGTGCATCACCTGGCTGGCCCACCCGAGACAAAGTCTGAAGCAGCTTTCTGGCTGACAAGCTGGTCAAATTGGGCAGAAGAAGCAGTAAAATTTCCTGAGATGCCAAGGAGACAATTAATCTAGTAGCCTTGGCTTTTAGGCTTGATAGCAGCAAATAGAATAGGAATAGCTGAAATCCCCCAGGCAGAAGATGTGACTTGTCTCCCACCTACCAACAGTTTTTCCTGTAAAAACTTCCATGTATTCTTTTTCCTTCAGGTGGATTTTAGAAGAGGCTACTGTTCCCAAATTATATTTTTTTTTCTGAGCTTGATCATGTAGACATGATCAGGATAGGAGGCTAACTGCAAATCTAAAGGAAAAAATGAATTTCTGAACCTGGTCAGACTTACCTGTGACATAAGTACAGAGCTTCCCTGTACCACACAGACCTGTGGGATGCAGAGTCTCTGCAGCAGAATTTCAGGCAGCTGCATTACTCCAATTCAAAACCATAATGTAAGGGGTAAGTCTTTGGGGGCGTTGAAGACAAAAGGTCAGATTCCAAATCCCTACTTAAGCTTAGTTTGAGAAATCATCCTCGTTTCTTGAATCTGAACTCTGTTCCTCAGACCTTGCTCTTCAGCTGCAGAATGGCAATTTTAAAAATGTTATTTCTGGGTGTCAGGTATGTAGAGGAGAGAAAGCAGATAAACCTGCATGCTCTTCTAAAGATGGCATGTGGTCTACCTATCACTCCTTTTTATCAGAGAAATAAATCAATGACAATGCTGACAGCTTAAAAAATATATATATATTTTTTTCTTTTTCTGTCTGACCTCTTGGTAACACCTGGTATTCAAACTTTTTGAGCTGAGACAACATTTCCTAGAAAATAGTGTTCCCTCTTTTGAAAGTAAGTAGTGTTTTTCTCCTCCTCCCTGAGAAGAGGGGATGTCATTAAGCAGACTTGATGAGGAAGGAAGGAAAAGATCCTTGAACCCAGCTCTTCTGCTGGTATCAGTCAGGGATGCTAAGTCAGAAATCACCAATAGTGGAAGATCTGGCCCTTTATGTACCCAGAGGAATGCAGAGATGTGTATGCATTTTAATGACAGTATTTGTTATGTGTGGATCTGTACTTTACAAATCTTTTGCAAAGCAGTGCTTAGTAGATGGAAAACCAGCTCTTAAAAGCATCTTGTATGCCAGCCACAGCTTTCAGAGGAGCATGCAGTGAAAATATTAATAAACGTATAGCTGTTGGCTTTGAATAATTTTCACTTCAATTCACTGACTGATGAGGTGGCTTCCATTCAATAGTTCCCTGCTCAGGGAGTGATAGTTACCAAAGATCCTTATTAGCACTTGACAGGGTCATTTAAATATCATGCATTCTTTGTTGCCTAATTATGAATATTGACAAAGCTGGAAGCAGTCTACACACAATCAAAACAATGGCGGCAGAGGTGACCGCATGGTTGTTTACCATTACCATCTACTTGTGTGTTGTTACTCCTTGCCTTGCCCAATCAAAGCCACTTGGCTCCAAAATTGCTATTGATTTGTTGTTTTTAAAGGGCAAAGGAAAGAGTTCTTGCACAAAATTAAATCAGAAAATGTTAAGCTTACTATCCTTTCATCAAGGTTTTGTTTTCACTTTTGCTGTGGTTTCTTTCATTTTTGCACATTCACAGAGAAAAGAAAAATGTTTTTTTGTTTTGTTTTGTTTTTTTTCTTCTTTTTTTAACATTTTCTCTTTGTTTTGCAAGGTGCTTTGTGATGTTCTTCATTGGTTGTGTCTAGTCCTTTGGACAGTGTTTTCTTTCTTTTCCTGTACTCACAAATGACTTCCTTCTGATTGTACTAATTGTACAGAATCCACTTGCTGCTTTTTTTTTTTTTTTTTTTCTGTAACACGGGTGCTTTGATGATGTCACATCCATCCATATGCTTCACTTTTAATTCAGTGCAGGCATCTTGGGGAATATCTGTGGGGGCGTGAAGAGGGGGTTCTTTAAAAGGGTTGACTCATGGGAATGTGACATTTGTGTGCCACAGCTTTAGTAGCTAAATATACTCTGGGATTGTTGTTTCTGAGCTACCTCACATTTCTTGCCAAGATGAAAATGTGTAGAGCAACCCATAGAGTGGGAATTATGCATTACCATCCCACTGGCATTTTCATTTTGGCCATTAAGGAATCTGCCCCTCTGCATTGCAAACAAAAAATCAGCTCTGATTGGGCAAACTGCACCCTCTTGCCTCTTCTCCATGTCCTCCAACAACCAAAAAAAAAAAAAACAAAAAAAAAAAAAAAAAAAAAAAACAAAAACAAACAAACAAACAAACATGTTCTAGAGTATGTTTATGTTTTGTTTCCTTTCTTGCTGTGTTTTAGTCTTAATTTAATTGTGTGTCTCACCTTTGTCAAAAGAATTTTCCTAACCTTGCAGTCTAACCTCCCGTTCTGCTGCCATTGTACTGAGCCTCCCTCCTGCCCTCAGCAGTCGTGAAGCTCCTCATGTGGAGCACTCCAAGGCTTTACCCTGTACACCCCAGTAGTGACCTAGTGCTGTGTCTCTGTAGTTGTTCTACTAATGAAGGGGAAGTAGATAATATAGTACTTACTGCTAGCGGAGAGACCTTCATGAAGAAAACAAAGTAATTTTCTTCAGGAGGAACTGGCCTTGCTCCCTCATTACCCTGCTGGCCCTTCTCTGCTGTCTCCTGTCCCTTCTGCCTCCTTCTAGAAATGCCTCATGTTTTTCTAGTCCTGGGTTTGTTAACACAATGTAGCCAACTGCTTAGTTTTATTATTCACTCCCTAAATGTATGGAGCTTACCTTTCAATCACAGTGCTGATAAACTGGTTGTAGAGATTTGGCTTATGATTTCTTTCCACAGCTTCTTTTCTGATGCATTCAGGTGGACATGGTTTAGCTGGGCATTGACTGCTTAAAGTGTAGTGTTACTCTGAACAGGCTTAATGTTTGTAATCTTACTTGTCTCAACACTCATTAAGTGACGATTATGAAGTGGTGTCTCCTTTTCTTAACAAAACTTTTGTCAATAGCCACATGCCAATGGTAAAAAACTGTCTGGAAGTGGGACATGCTGCACACAGTTAATATGGTTAAGACCTGCTGGTGTATTTAGATGTCAAGAATGCTCCTGTGGATATGTCATGCTTTACAGTCTATTATTTTACGCGTAACTGTTAACAACTGCAGCCCTTTGGGTGGTACAGACCTAGGTGTCATTAGCAGTAGTGAACAATTTGGAGAGGTCTCTGTTATTGGGGAGCCCAAGGGCTGTTAATTTCAAAATCTGACTCCATAAGATGTTTCTTATTGTACACAAGTGGCAGTGTTACTAATTTTTACTGTGATTATCACTACTTGAAAGACTTGCTAA